TTCAAGGAAAAATTTGAAACCCGAAGCGCGAACGTTCGTAAACGGCATCCAAATGGGTTATGACACGAACGCGACCGAGTTGGCGGATTTTTGCGCCGAGCTGACGGTGGGACGACGCGCGCTCGAGGATCGAGATGCAACCGTGGTCACATCGCTCGTGCACGAGCTCGCCGTTCGGGTTCAGAAGGACATCTCCGTCCTTACGATACCGCTCACGCAGCCGCCTTCGTTTTGGAATCGACTCATCGCCACCGCGAGGAATCTGTGTGCCCACGGGGTGCTTGACATTGTGTCGAAGTGCGAGTTGTCCGACACATTCGCGTTGCGCGTCACGCGCGAACTTCAAATCGAGCCGCCTAGCGGCGATCGTATGGATGCTCCGGTGGAAGCAATCGTGGACTTAATTTGTACGATGGCGACCGAAGGCGTCGTCGTCTACGTGCCGTCGGACATAGCGAGCGGTGCATGGTATTTGTGGGCCCGCCTCATCGCGGTTTTGGGACCTGTAAAGTGCGCAATCATCGATAAAGACACGAAGCAAGACGAGCGTCGCCGCATCATCGCGTCGTTCGACGAGCCGGTCGACGAACGTGAATATAACGTGCTGTTCGCAACAACGGAAACGGCGGGATTCGGCATCAATCTACCGTCAATCGACTTTGCTATATTGCTGACAAGCGCATGGACTGCTTCTACGAACACTCAAGCGACGTACCGTAATATTCGCGCGTATTCAAACGGACTTGCTCGATCAAAACGAATAATTCACGTCATCATGAGCGGGTCGTGTGGATCCGTCGCGCTCAGTCGATTCTCTCGCGCAGCGTTTCGTGGTAAAATAGGCGCGGCCCTGTTCCCGCCGCTGTTTCCTTCGGATGCCGCGTGGGATTTGCCATTGTTGGCGACGACAGAAACGCCGTTGACCACGGAGAAGCGCGAAGCAATTGCAGCCCTGTCCGAAAAGAACCAATTTACGAACGAGATGACGACAATGACGTACGAGGATTTTCTGAAACAACTGACAAAGCTCGAGGCCCCGGCGAACCACTCAATTGATTTTTTATTCGATTGCGGTTTCCACGGCGCATGGTCGCGTTCGGCAAAGCAACGATCATCGGCGGCGAAGACGAAGAAGGGTATCAGAAGGACTACGGGAGGAGGATTGCAATACAAGACATTGCGGGCCAAAAACGAGGCGGAGCGAGCGGTCCTCGCTGGAATTGCGACGCCGCACCCCACGCCGAATTTGACGCCAGAGGTTTTGGCACAGTGCACCGCTCAGGCTGATTTGATCAAGTTGGGCATCCAACGCGCGCAAAATGCTCTGGATCGAGGCCACGTGTGGCGCCCGTCGACGTCGCAAGACTACTCGTTTTTGTTCCCAAAGAACACGTCGAGCGATGCGCCCGTTCGGAGGATGATGATCACCGCGTCGTCGCTCTCAGGGAGTTTATTTCCATCGCGACCAGTTAGCCAAAATGCGTACATGCGCGCCGGCGTGGAGCTCGAGCCAAGGGCTCTGGAGCACATCTCGAAAAAGTATTCCTTCAATTTCGTGAAGGATGTCGACAAATGGACGCGCGCGCTCCCATCGGATCCCACGTTTTTGGCCGCAACGCTGGACGGGTTGACGACCACGGGCATCATCGTCGAAGTGAAATTCGTGCACAATTTTATGGACGTGATCACGCCGGCTGGGGCAACGAAAAAATACGAAGCGTATTTGTCTCAGGTGCAGGCGCAGATGCACGTGTTCGAGCTCGCGATGGGAATGCTCGTTTTCTATTCGATCGATGCGGACACTGGCGACATGTTCTCGTGTGAATATTGGATTCGACGCGACGACGCGTGGCTCGATCGCATGAAGCCTACATTTGCTCTCGCTCTCGCGACCCAACGACGACGACATAACTTCGACCCCAGCTCTCTCTGAACGCTATGATATGATAAGATATGTTTTTTAAAAAAGTTACCGGTATGCGAGAACAGAAATATAGTCCGTCCCGCGAATGACGGGACGCGCACAGATGACGGAGCGAGCGATGCAAATCGCTCCCGGTGATGTCATTGAATAGGAAACTACCGTATTGTAATTCGATTTACGTGATTTTACCCCTTGCCCCGTTTTTTACCCCTTGCACCCTTGCACCGTTGCACCGCGATGGGAAGTACGTGATGACGGAACGCGCGATTGAATTGGGGACGCCCATGACGTGCGGTTTTTGCGAGTGGCGACATGAGCACCTCGGGTTCGACCGAATGTTTGAATGTCATGAATGCGATTTGAGCATTGATCGTGACGTGAACGGTGCTCGGAATAACGGTCTCCAAGCGCTCGCGGACGGTGGATTCGGAAGACCGCCCGAGTACTGGAACACACATGCGTGAGCGAGAACAGAAAAATAGTCCGTCCCGCGAATGACGGGACGCGCGCAGATGACGGAGCGAGCGATGCAAATCCCTCCCGGTGATGTCATTGAATAGGAAACTATTGTAATTCGTCCGATTGCTCGCAAATCCAGGCACGGATGCGTCATGATGCGATTTCGTTACGGCCACAAGAGCGCACCGAACGCCGTCGTCGCGGCGAACATGTTATGTTTGACGCGACACTACGAACCTGGGCGTTTTGTCGACGCGCCGATGTGCCGCCATGAGCGGGTCGCCCATGAGCTCATGAGCCATGGGCCCATGAGCTCATGACATCGAGAATGCGCGACACGGGCTCACGAACGGGCCACGAGGCGCGGACACGCAGCCGTGATCGATGCGAGTATGAACGTGTGTCACGTCGATCGCGCGCCCCGGCGCTGGCGATGATGTTTTCCCTCCATGGCGCAAAAAACGTGAAACGCAAAATCCATGCCGGCGATTTCGTTACGGCGTGGCGCGAGCGCGAGAGCGCCGCTCCCTCGGCGCGTTAGACGCAGCGTTCGCGCATAACGCGAAGATTGCGTGCGCGCGCCTCAGGAGCGTCCCGACCGAGCGCACGCGCGTCGGCTGCGGAAATGATGTGTGACAAAATGCAAAGTGTGTTGAAAATGCAAAGTTTGCCTAAGAACGCGCTCGCGTCGAGCGCCGCCCAGAGCTCGCAAACGCGACTCGAGGGCAAGCCATGCGTGCGTTAATGCGCACGAGTGATGCTCGACGCGTTTGCGCTCGCGCGCGCGACGCAAGGGCGAAGGTGTTCGAAATGGTCGAAATGAGATGATGACGCACGCGCGCGCGCGGCGACGTGAACTCGCGACGTGCGAACCGAGACGCGACACACTCGCGTGCATCACGTTGTCTTTGTGTGCTTCGCGTGCGTGGCGCGATGGAAAGATGCGTGGGCGAGCGCTCGCGCGTCGCGTAGTCACGCCATGTCTGCGATTTGAGCATCGATCGTGACGTGAATGGTGCTCGGAATAACGGTCTCCACGCGCTCGCGGACGGTGGATTCGGAAGACCGCCCGAGTACTGAACGACGTGTGAGCGAGAACAGAAATATAGTCCGTTCCGCGAACGACAAGACGCGCACAGATGACGGAGTGAGCGAGGCAAATCGATTCCGGTCACAAATCTGGGCACCACGCGCGACGTCGCGCGTCTGGGACGTGGAGAGGGCATTCAGCGACGCGCGCGCGCGGCTGACGACTACCGACTGATAGTTTCCTACTTCCGAAACTATTGTAATACAATCACGGAGGATGATTGAAGCCATTCGCGCGTTGTTCGCACCGAAGCGTCGGAGTGACGATGCGCAACAGGGCGAGGAGCAAGCGAAACGGCGCGCGGAGATCGGCGCGCGCGCGGTGGACTCGACGAGTGCCGGCGGTGCGTTCGACGGCGCAGGAGACACGGAAAGCGCTGAAAAACGCGACAATGGCGTCGCGCGGGGGGGCCAGGGCACGAGTGGCGCCGAGCCGACAGGTGGTGCGGACGAGAACCCGGCGGAGGAGGCGACGAACACGGGGAAGGGGAAGCGGAAGTGCGTTCTGTGCAACCGCGCCGACGCCTGTCGCACTGTAAATATGTTTTTCGTCGGCGCATTGGTCATTGACGTGTTTCAACCGATTTTCAACCGATACTCTCGCATCAAAAAGAAGCAAATCGGTAGAATTGATAAAAATCAGACATTTCGTCAAGGCGACGGTTTGTGCAAAGCATGTTCCGCGCTTTTTGAAGATTGTGTTCGCGACCGGCTCGATTGGAAGTTTGAGTGGATCGTTGACGCCGCGCGCAAGTTGAAGATTTTGAGCGCGCACGTCCGCGACCACTTGGATGGCAAGTTGCCGAGAGGGAACGATGTGGCCACACTCGCGCGATGGGACCATGAAGATGCTGGGGAAAGAGTCGGCGTTCAGGTGGGATTGTGGTGGTACGACTTAAACCGCTCAAAGTGCGAAGAGCGACTGAAGCGTTTGAGAAAATTCGATGAAGACTCCAACAATGCGCTCCAGTATCTCGAGACATGTGTGTTGCGCGAAGATGGCTGTGCACGCAGGTACACAGCGCACGACGCGCGCAAGTTGAAGATTTTGAGCGCGCACGTCCGCGACCACTTGGATGGCAAGTTGCCGAGACAGAACGATGTGGCCACACTCGCGCGATGGGACCATGAAGATGATGGGGAAAGAGACGGCGTTCAGGTGGGACAGTGGTGGTACAACTTAAACCGCTCAACGGACAAAGGGCGACTGAAGCGTTCGAGAAACTTCGATGAAGACTCGAAGCACGCGCTCCAGTATCTCGAGACATGTGTATTGCGCGAAGATGGCTGTGCACGCAGGTACACAGCGCACGACGCGCGCAAGTTGAAGATTTTCAGCGCGCACGTCCGCGACCACTTGGATGGCAAGTTGCCGAGAGGGAACGATGTGGCCACACTCGCGCGATGGGACCATGAAGATGATGGGGAAAGAGACGGCGTTCCGGTGGGAATGTGGTGGTACGACTTAAACCGCTCAACGGACAAAGAGCGACTGAAGCGTTTGAGAAACTTCGATGACGACTCCAACAATGCGCTCGAGTACCTCGAGAGATGTGAACCAAGAAAAGCCAAGGCTTTACCAGGCCGAAACGCTAAATAAGGCTGATGAAGAGATGAATGAGCTGATGATAATTACGGTCTCCATGCGAATAGAAAAACATTGTAATTCACCCTGAACCCTATACAAAATCTTCCACAGTACGATTACATTCCGTTTGTTACAACGCGCTACGATTGCGAAATTTGGTAGAAGAGCACGTACGCTTGCGCGGCGAACACGTGCGAAGCGTCCACCTCTCGCTGTGCACGACCACGGCGTAGAGCTCGTACACGTTATTTGCTTGCATCGATCCATCGATTCAAAATATCTACGGGGGCGTGAAAGCCGCCGCACCTATAGAAGTCCGAGGGGGCATCATGGCCACGAGGTAACAGCCGTGAGCCCCTTGATTACCACCGAGGGGGGCACCTTGACGGATGTGCTTGCGGTTGTCGTATTCCATCTCAATTTTGCTCACCGTGTTGTATCCGCCGTCCTGAGAGTTCCAGGTGTACTTTGCGTATTTTTTGCCGTTGAGCTCGATGTTGAGACCATCCGTGTGGTACTGAAAGACAAATTTCCATCTCGTGCCGTCGTTTTCTTGCGTCGATCCCATTTCCGCCGGCACCCACGGCAAATACTCGTACTGACCTTGCCACTCGTCGCACCGTTGGTTGTCAGTGATGAAGTTGTTTGTTTTCGGGCGTGGATCAAAGTGCACAAGAACGTCGTCGCATGAACCGCGCTGAGTGCGAAGATTCATCGTACATATGCCTCCACTGTTCACGCCAAACATCATGAATCTCGCATTGAGACCCTTCGGGGGTTGCCTCTTCATGACTTCGGTGGCTTTCTGTTTGTCCTCTGGAGACCAATCCCATGGTTTGTCAGGGTTCTCTGGCATGCAGTTCGGTTTACAGTCCCCAAACGTGGCGTCGATGAATCCAAGATACTCGCTCGCCTTCCATTCGTGCGTAATGATCCGATTGTGATATTTACCAAAGGCAGTCGTGCACATTCCATGCGCGCTGGCGATCGGCGCCTTCTTCTTGATTCCGATTTCGTAGTGAATCTCACCTTTGGCATTCTTCAACGCGTAACCGTATTCGTAATTCAGATCATTCGTCGTTAACTCAAACGTCTTCGTATCACCCGGCTGAAGGTTCGCCAGGCTCTTCATCACCAACCCGTCTTCCCATTCAAAAAAGCTCCCCGTGCCTCGCCGGGCGTGCACGTCGTAGTCATGCTTGACAATCCTCGCCTCGACGATCTCGCTGTTCCAAAAGCGCGGATTATACTTTTGCACGCGCGCTGACTCGCATCCAATGTGTAGCGTGTGCGTGATCGGCGTCCCCCTTCCCGGGTTATGACTCGGTCGCGGCGGCATGACATGCTTCGAAGCTTCCAGGGAGCCGAATCCCGTGGCGCGCATCGTCGCCAGCGCACCGAGCGTAGCGAGCGCGCCGAGCGCACCGACCGTCGCCCACGTCGGTGACGTTGACCGTTCGCGGTTCTTACCCACGACCAGCGTTCCTTCGTCCATTGCGCGCGTCTCGGTATGTCGCGAGTGCCAACACCCAAAATACACGCGTGCAACACCTGGGTGTTGCACGAGTTTCGTGAACTGCGTAGACTCGACTCCGACGCGCGCGTCTTCTCGAGAGACGATGTCGACGTACGGTGCGGTGCCAGACGACGTGATCGAACGAGCAATCGTCTCGGACGCACGAGCGAACGAGGGGACGTCGAGTGCGACGCGTCGAGCGCGCGTCGGCGCGGGAATCTTTGCCCTGCTGATGGTGTTGGGCGGCGCTCTGGTGTTGGGACGAGCGACGTTTGGTTCGGGCGCGGGAACGATGATGCCGACGATAGCGGTAAAGACGCCCGCGCTCGGCGCAAACGCCGTTCAGGAAGCCCTCAACGAGGCGCTCGACCATCTCCCTTGCGTGCAGACGTGCGCGCGCCTGAAGGATGCGCTGTCGAGAAAAATAGAGGGACACAACGCCGCGATGACGTGCGATGATTTTAAGCACTTTGCAAACGCTGATAGTTGCGTCAGTAAGCACTGTCATTGCGAAGATGCCACGGTGATCGACGAGACGGTTAAGTACCTGTGTGACGAAGGAGGGGACCCAAACTCGGTAGGGAAGGACGCTTTTCACACGCGCACCGAGGACGCCGTCATCGCCGCCTGCGCACCCTCGGGCAAGCCATCGGACGCCTAGAGGTTTTTGGTCTTTAAGTCAGACGTCAGACTCGTCTTTCGGGAGAACGCGTACCTTAAATGATGAAATGAAAACCGTACCGGTAATGTTCACCTATAGCTATATATGAGAGTTGAGACGCGCGGGGTTCGAAAGCAGAAGCGTTACAAGAACTAAAAACCGACGTCGTGCACGAGCGCGGCGTAGCTGCCTTCTCCGTCGACTGCTTTCGCTTTCGCGGCGCGAGTGCACTCCTTCAGCATGAAGGGCGGAAGCTCCAGTCCAACCGCCGCGTACAACTGCTTGCGGACGTCTTTCGTGGCGCTCGTTGGAGCATCCCAACAATTTGATGAAAGCAGATGTATTGCGTTTTCGTCGTCACCTGAAGGCTCATGCAGAGACAACAGAGCAAGGTACATGTGCTCAGCTGTGGCCGAGCGCACGCGCGGGAACCTGTTCGCGAGGAGTGCGAGCATACCAAGCGTGGACGATTTGTGTAATCCCTGATTCGCCGAGCGCACAAAGTGAGAAAGACACGCGCATCCTGCGAGGAGCTTTGAGATGTCGCGACTTGAGTGTAACTCGGCGCGAACAGCGTCGATGAGTTCCATTGGTACACTCGAACCATCGACGACCTCACGCCGATTACAGTTTAATCGGCGTCGTGAAGGGCGTCGAGAAGCTAAGCCTCACGCCGATTACAATTTGAAATCCATCAAAATGAGCGCGTCATTCGTCTCACGTACCGTGACCTCGCGCATCATGAAAGCTCCGTATTGTTCTGTCAACAGCGATTTGAAGCGCTCGCGATTTTTGGGCGCGCGAAGTGGCGGGTCTCCGAGTAAGAATCTTCCCCCGCCGCTTCGAACGAGCCTTGGAACGAGTTCGGCGATAGGTGAAACAGCTTGCACTTCGTAGAGCACGTCGCACGCCAACAATGTGTCAAACTTTTCCTGCGTCTCTATCGCATTCCAGTCGAAAACTTCTACTGACACTCTGTCCTGAAAACCATTCGCTTCGATCGATAACTCCGCGCACGCCAACGCCAAGGGCTCGCGATCTAATAAAACAACCTTGCGCGCTCCAGCAGCACACGCGACGAGACCAGACAGGCCGAGACCAGCGCCGAGATCGTACACGGTCTTCCCGCGGACGAGCGATGGCGCGTTCGCTATGTATCGTGACACCGCAAGCGCGGATGGCCAAAGCGTCGCCCAATAAGGATCAGCGTCAAGCTGTCCCAGACTGACGTAGTAATCGACCACAGCGTCCTCATCCGCCGGTCGCACGAGCTTAATTGCGATGCCGTCGACGATAGCGATCTCTTCCGTGAAGACCTCGAAGTGTCCCAAGTCAGCCGCCGCTCGCGCAAGCGAACGACGCGAGCGCACGACCGTGCGTGGCCGCGAGCGGTGAGTCGACGAGCGAAGCGTCGAGGGAGATGACCGCGCACGCGTCTCGTACGTCGGCATGATGTCTCAAGGCTCACGTCCAAATCGAACGCATAGTCGCAGAGGCGTCGACAGCTGCGGTCAAAACCATTTCTCGTCCGTCATTTCGTCAGGCCGAGTCGACGACGCCGGGATGGTCGACGCGTCGAAACGATCGAGTGATGACGTAGACGACGTCGCCGTGTGCGTTGACGACGGGGTGAAGATCGAGGACGCGTTGCGCGACGAACGTCTACTCGATGCCTATCGCACGTTTTCTTCGAGCGCGTCGACGTGCGACGACCGATGGGGACTCGCCGAGACGGGTAGCGCGGCGGAACGATGGATGTGCGCTCTAAAGGAAAACCCGACGGGGTGGACGCGGCAGAAGTCCATTGTACAGACGCTTTCGGCGTCTTCTCTGAGCTCGCTCACGTCGAGCGTGTTCAGCACCGTGCGCGCCGACTCAACAGGTTCAGACGCATCGTCAACAGCTGGAAAATCAGGCGAAAGAACTCGCATATATTATAGGTGTGACTCTAAGCGAACGCTTTCAGTTCGCGTCGAGACGGTCATCGCACGCGATATGCTCGTGCCGTTGCTCAGTGTGCTGAACGAGAGCGAACTGTATTCAAGCTGGTTGCCGAAGTGGACTTCGCCGACGCGGCTGGGCGTTCGGGAATCGGTAAAAGTCGCTCAGGTGGGTCGGTGCTCGCAACTCGTCATAATCACGTGTGACGCACCGTGGCCACTGGAGACACGACAAGTCGTGCTCGATGCAGTTGCGTTCGATGACATGGACGCGAACGGCGACATAGGCGTGTTGTTGAGAACGCGAGACTGTGATACCGATACGAGAGTGCCACCAAAGCCGTCGGATGAAGAAATTACGAGAATTGAAGTTGATGGTGCATTTTTATTCCGGCGCGTTCCGAGCGAGTGGGCTAAAGATGTTGGAGGAGAAGTCACGAGCGTCGCGCAAGATGACATTCTCGTCAGTTTTGGATTCACCGTCGACCCAAAGCTCGACTACATTCCGACTTGGCTGCTCAATTTCATCGTTCGAACCGTCATTGGAACTCTGTGGGGGGCGTTTATTCGCGTCGCTGAAGAAGTACGCGACGGATTGAGACCGGCACACGCCGAAGTTATTACAAAGAAGCGCGAACATTTGTACGAGTGGGTCGAGCAACGCGCATCCTGCATGTTCACTATTTGACATTATCGGTAGAGTGTTGAAATTACATACATCTAGCGCATCTTGCTGTGATCTTTGTGATGAGTTCGCCCGGAGGACATTTCTTTCGTTCACTCCGCCATCGGCCAACGGTATCACCGGTAGTTCTGTGGTACATACATTTTCGTGTTGAAAACGGCACAGCTCGCCAATCAGTGACCGCAGACCGCGCGTCTCGGAGATAAGACGAGTGAGGCTGAAGTGATCTAGACATGGTCGCGCCAAAGATCGTCGTCCCTCCCGGATCAAACGTGATCGACTTGAGCAAAGCGCAAACGTTGTTCGACTTGGCGAGGGATGGGAACATTGTTCTCATCAAACGAGTCGTGGACTCGGGCGCGGACGTGAACGCGGGCGACGAAGACGGCAAAGCGCCTCTGCACTGGGCGGCGGTATATGACAAAGTGGACGCAATCCGATGTCTCGTGCGCGAGTGTAAGGCGAACGTGAACGTGTGCGACGGCGGTGGTAACGCCCCGCTGCACTGGGCGACGTGGTATGAGCAGTTGGACTCGATCCGATGTCTCGTGAGCGAGTGCAAGGCGAACGTGGACGCGGTCGACGAGGAGGGTAGGACGGCTCTGCACTTGGCAGCGTGGAATGACAAAGTTGCCGCGATCCGGTGTCTCGTGAGCGAGTGCCAGGCAAACTTGAACGTGGTCGACGCGGAGGGCAGAACGCCTCTGCAGCATGCGAACAAATCGACGACACAAAAACTTCTTCGTGAACTCGTGAGCAAAGAAGAAACGCTGTTCGACGCGGCGAGGGGTGGGAACATTGGGCTCATCAAACGACTCGTGGACTCGGGCGCGGACGTGAACGCGGGCGACGAAGACGGCAAAGCGCCTCTGCACTGGGCGGCAGTACATGACAAAGTGGACGCAATCCGATGTCTCGTGCGCGAGTGTAAGGCGAACGTGAACGTGTGCGACAGCGGTGGTAACGCCCCGCTGCACTGGGCGACGTGGTACGACAAAGTGGCAGCGATCCGATGTCTCGTGAGCGAGTGCAAGGCGAACGTGGACGCGGTCGACGAGGAGGGTAGGACGGCTCTGCACTTGGCAGCGTGGACTGACAAAGTTGCCGCGATCCGGTGTCTCGTCGAGTGCAAGGCAAACTTGAACGTGGTCGACGCGGAGGGCAGAACGCCTCTGCAGCATGCGAACAAATCGACGACACAAAAACTTCTTCGTGAACTCGTGAGCAAAGAAGAAACGCTGTTCGACGCGGCGAGGGGTGGGAACATTGTTCTCATCAAACAACTCGTAAAGTCGGGCGCAAACGCGAACGCTGGCGACGAAGACGGCAAAGCGCCTCTGCACTGGGCGGCAGTACATGACAAAGTGGACGCAATCCGATGTCTCGTGCGCGAGTGTAAGGCGAACGTGAACGTGTGCGACAGCGGTGGTAACGCCCCGCTGCACTGGGCGACGTGGTATGAGCAGTTGGACTCGATCCGATGTCTCGTGAGCGAGTGCAAGGCGAACGTGGACGCGGTCGACGAGGAGGGTAGGACGGCTCTGCACTTGGCAGCGTGGAATGACAAAGTTGCCGCGATCCGGTGTCTCGTGAGCGAGTGTCAGGCGAACTTGAACGTGGTCGACGCGGAGGGCAGAACGCCTCTGCAGCATGCGAACAAATCGATGACACAAAAACTTCTTCGTGAACTCGTGAGCAAAGAAGAAACGCTGTTCGACGCGGCGAGGGATGGGAACATTGGGCTCATCAAACGACTCGTGGACTCGGGCGCGGACGTGAACGCGGGCGACGAAGACGGCAAAGCGCCTCTGCACTGGGCGGCGGTATATGACAAAGTGGACGCAATCCGATGTCTCGTGCGCGAGTGTAAGGCGAACGTGAACGTGTGCGACGGCGGTGGTAACGCCCCGCTGCACTGGGCGACGTGGTACGACAAAGTGGCAGCGATCCGATGTCTCGTGAGCGAGTGCAAGGCGAACGTGGACGCGGTCGACGAGGAGGGTAGGACGGCTCTGCACTTGGCAGCGTGGAATGACAAAGTTGCCGCGATCCGGTGTCTCGTGAGCGAGTGCCAGGCAAACTTGAACGTGGTCGACGCGGAGGGCAGAACGCCTCTGCAGCACGCAAACAAATCGGGGACGAAGAAACTTCTTCGTGAACTCGGAGCAACGTCACAAAAGTGAGCTCGGATGGAAAGGCGTACTCTCTAAACATTACTAGTACCATAGATATACAATTACCTACTGCTACTGCGCTGAGATGCTGTGCGGCGCGACCAGCGCTTTGCTCCGGCCTCTGGAGGAAGCAAAACCTCCTTTTCTTGAAACTTGGAACGATCTCCGCGCTCGAGCCAGTCAAAGTCCTCGTCGTCGTCAGTTTTCAGAATGCTCACCGTCGGTCGTCGTATTTTTTTCGATTCAGCGCCAAAATGCTCGGGGCTGTAGAAGATGGACGTGCAAAGAGCGATGAACTCGAACACGCTGAACACCGGCGTGAGCACGATTGTCAACACAAAGAGCACGTTGTAATAGATTGCCCCCGACACGACGCCTTGAGACAAATCCGATATGGACGCGCTCTTGTAGAACCCAATCGCGTATTTGAACGTCACGCATGCGGTGATGAATCCGACTATGCACGAGATAGCAAACGTATCCGGGCCACTTCGTCGTAAGCACCACGGCGCAAACGCAGTGATCACTGGAGCAATCGTCGAGAATCCAGCACTCAAGCAAGCGAACGATAATGACGCTCGATGCACGTGATCAAGCGCGTTTTCATCGCGCATAAGCACGAGCGCACTATGATGGTCTCGAGCGCGGGCCTTGAATAACTTCCACACGTTCGATATGATGGGCACGTGAACTCCAGCATCGAGCCACGCAAACTTGACGCCGTTATTTGAACACATCAACGCGAAAGACGTGAGCTCGAAGCCGTCGTGCACTTCCATGTCTCCAAAACCAACCGCGAGCTCGAGCTCATTTGGGACTACCAAATACGTGTTTGGTATCGGAGCCACAACGCGCGAGTATTTGGCGTACATCATTCGCAACGCGCCATACGACTCGCCGGCGCGAATACACTCAGCCATTGCCGGAATCCACTGAAACGCGCTCTCGACGCCATCGATGAGAGAGTTTGACGTTCTCGTAATTCCTGGCAAAACGGCACCTTGCGCAAGCCGACGAACGTGCGTATCTCCTCTACCCGACAGCGCGGCGAGACGCGTCTCACGAGCGCAGTGTGCGAGCACAGCGTCGACCGCGCGCACGTTCAATAGCGCATCTGAGCCCATGTGCACGACCCAATCACCCCAACTTGCCGAACTTGCGCGCGTCGCGTAACTCAACAGGCCAGTGTTTCCTTGGAAACGATCGTTCATCTCAAGTGGCACGATGAGCTCGTTCACCGCGGCGCCGGAGATGCCAATCTCTTTGTAGCTAACGACTTCAACGACGAAGAGAGTCGTCGGGATTGACCGCTGCAAAATTTCGATGGCGACATCGACGGCTCGTTTCACCGCCAGAGGCTTCGCTTCTCGAGAGACGTGAAACCTAAAGTAAATTTTACCACCCAACTCTTCGAGTATTTTCGCCCGGTCTGGAAAGGCTTCGAGCCACACGGGAGGCCAGGTCAAGTACCCGGTGATGTGTGCCAAGCACGAGGGTATGGCAAGGAACGTCGCAACAGATATGATCATCCAAACAACGTTCTCCAACACGTTGAGCTCCAACACCTCGCCCGTGGGATTGAGAAAAGGGCCAAGCGATGTCATGATGACATAGCATAGTACCAACACCCCAAACGCAGTGTACAGACCGCACAGACGAAGTAGCAGCGTAAATGTTACCGGTTTATACGCTCGTCGCTCAGCCTTGCGACGAAGCTCGTCTTTGGATGATTTACTTGACCTCTTACGCCGTCCGCGGCTACTATTTTCCCACGTTCTGCTCCACCCACTTCTTGAACTCGCTAACTTTGGAGAACTCTTCTCGAGCAACCCGGTCGTGATGGCGGCTTCGCGTCCCGTAACGCCTGGACCGAGCGTGTCTCTCGCGTCTTGAAACGCACCATCGTCCTCGTCCTCGTCCGAAGCGCTGGCATCGCCCGCGCGGAGTCTTCGCTCTCCGTCACCCTCCTCGATATCGGTGACGTACTCATCGTCCTCTTCGCTCGTCGACGTTCGCGCGAAGTCGTCGTCTTCGTCGTTCTCCCTTCCTGGGATCACGGCGCGCCAGCTTGGATCACTCCGACTGAGCATCGTCCCCGAGCGACGCGCGTGAACGGAGGCGGTCGAACCGAATCAGTAGGCTAGGCTGAGATTCGAGCTCGAATCCTGCTCCGCGTTCGACGTCCTCCGGCGCCGAGCGATCGAGGAGCGTCGCGAGCAATGCGCGCGGTCGTTCGTCTCCCTCCAATCGCCGTGGTCGCCGCCACGTAGCGACGTCGTCGCGCACAAAGTGACGACGTCGCTCGATTCTCTCGCGCCAACACCCATATTTTTTTCCTCTGAAGGAGAAAAAGCTCGCCTCGACGCGCTCAACGATCCGCGCGCGCGTCGCTCTCCGCACTCGGCGACGACGGAGAGGTGACGACGGCGCTTCGATAACGCGCGGCATCGCGCTCGTCGTCGTCGTCGTCGTCGTCATCGTCGTCGTCAACATCGTCGTCATCGCCGTCGCCGGCGTCGCGAGGCCCGATGCCGGGCTCGCACCGAGACGATGCGCCCCAGCCTCGTCGTAGACACGGCGACCGCCATGATCACTATGAGGCTGAGGAAATAAGAAGGAGAAGAGCGCTGCGAGTGTCGGCGTGGCGAGCCGGAGCGGAATCTGCAGACGAGGATGCCGACGACAAACCCGGCCCGTCGTTGGCCCCGCGAGCGCCTGCGCGAGAGCGAGCGCGCACGGTAGGACTGCGCGTAGCTAACGGGAAGACGCAACGGCTTGTGCATAGAGCCTCTAGTAGCGATGATTCGTCATCGTTATTCGCTGGATCGGACAAGGATCGTAGCAAGAAGGTGTCGGCGTGGGAACACGGACGAGGCGGAAATTCGGGTTTGGTTGAGCCTTGGGAACTGAATGACGACGACGAGCACATCCTGCCAAAACTTCGACTGAGTCCACCGAAGGCAGACACTCTGAGCTCTTCCAGCGACGATGACGATAACGACGATTCGACGTTCAAATCACTCTCAGCGAATAGTCCACTCAAACAACCACAGCGTCCCGCGCTGGCGAAGACGTTTATGAGACAAGATCACATCAGACACCTCGACGAGGAGGATATAGAGTACTATACCGAGTCTGATTCGGACTACAGTGCTCAATTTCTGGGAAAAAACAGCGATAGTGAAGACGACGATGACGATAAAGATGAGACGAGTGAAAATAGTTTTAGCGGAGGAGACGAAGTTGACGAGGATGGCGTCGCGGTCAAGTCGATGAAGAAAAAGAAAAAGAAAAGGAAGAATGGGGTGGTCCTCACGCCGCCGATGAGTCCTAAGAGTAAGACGAGGTATCGTTGCATCAAAGGCGAGCTCGCCGCCGCCAAAGCGAAAACGACGATCATTCGCGAAAAGTATCAGGCCGTGAAGTATGTGTTTGAGACTGAAAACGAACAAGGAGAGAAAACTTTGAGCGACGAACTCAGCGCCGTCGTATCCAACGCAGCAAAGGCGAGTTCACAGACAGAGGCCGACTTGCGCGTCAGAACAACCCTGTTCGCAAAGACAAACGGTCTGTCAGCGTTACCCGTGTGCACGTGCGATCAGTCACCGTCGACGCTCATTGGTCCGAAGCAGGTTGGCTCGTTGGCATCGTACTGTCAGATTCACATGCCATTCGCCGCGGCAAAGATGGGAAAGTACGGAACCTCACACAGTCAGTGTGACGTCGAAGAAGCAACGCGGCGCCTTCGATCGGTGTATTTGCTCGAACAGGCGGCCGAGGAGAAGCGCAAAGCCAAAATTCACGCGTTACAAGACGAGCGATCGAAACGTGGTCACTATGCTTGGAACCGCGACGAAGCAAATGCGCCTCAAGCTGGAGATTCCGATGACTCTGACTGGGAGATTTCCAACGTAGTGAAGACTGTCGGCATGAGCCGTGGAGCGCCCAGGGTTGTTCCTAATCCTCAAATCGAGCGCGCGAAACAACGCATGGCCGATCTTCGCGACGCGCACGGATATCAGCTCTTTGAGACGCGAATCAATTTCATACTGGTGACAAATAACAGCAGTAAGTCTCTTTATCGCGTGGCAAAGATTGAACGGTTTTCAGATGAGTTCCGGGTGGAAGAAGATTCGCATCTATACTCCAAGCTTCAGTTGGAGAATTTGTTACGGATGACGTCGCAAACGCAGGGTGGGTGCAGGCGCATCAGCGAAGGGCGCGGCATAGTTGGATTCATTCAGCTCTACAATTTTCAATCTGCTTCCGATTCCGGCTGGGATCTCGACGCGATGACGGAGTCTGGGACAAAGGGTGACATCATACGGATCACCGAGCAGATTTATCGCCGACATGTGTGCGCAATGAAGAGGAAAGAGCTCATGTTCTCCTTTCTCGAGCGCACGAAAGTCGGGGCAGGCGTTCCGAGTTACTTGCATCAGCTCGGCCCGCGTCAGGGCTACACAGTATTTAGCGGTGCTGATGCAGTGAGGCCTATCGGAGCGTATGGATCAACCGTGCAGTCGAGAGGCATTCCGACGAATGCAAACATGAATCGTGCACAATCTATCCAGTCCTCACAGAACGCGGTCGAGAAACCGGCAGAAGATGCGGGCGCTTCGAGGGCTCAAGCGCCCCCCAAGGCGGCCTGGTACGAAGGTATTTTGTCGAACATCGACAAAGCAGTCGAAAAGCAAGAACAAGAGGAGAAGGCGAAGTTGGCGAAGAAGCTCACTGAAAAGCAAGCGGAAGATTTGGCTGAGAGGTTACGCAAACAAAAAGAAGAAGAAGAGGAAGCCGCGCGCGTTGCGGCGGCGGGCGATTGGACAAAACTCATTCTTGAAGGATTTATCGTTCCCGAAATTCCTACGAATAATGCGCTTCCGGGGCAAATGATGCAGGTGGACGGGGCGAGCAATAAATTCATCTATCGCACAAAGTATCTTACAACTTTCGACGATCTGCCACCGAGCGATGACGAATCAGCCGACGACACGATCATCGCACCGTCAGGATTACTCATTTCATCGGACTCATCCGACGATGACGCTAAGGGTTTGCGTCGGAAAGTGATGAGCTTTCACGAGACGTCATTGGCCATCGAACGAGAAGGCAAGGTACAACAAGATCATGAAAAGAAAATCATCTTCAAAGATGAGGACGTCACTTTTGCGTCGGAGATATCAGTCGAGCCCAGCGTAGGAGTTCCTACAACAAAGGAGACGGTGCCCGCGCCCGAGCGTGTTAAGAGCATCACAAAGCTCATCACGCCCGAGCTGAAACACGTGGGCACGATACGAATCAAGACAGCCGACGAGAGCGCGACACTCAAAACGCCCAGTGTACCGACGACGCCGAAAGCCAAGCCGAATGAGAACCCGCAGAAAGGTAACGCCGTGACTATCAACAGCAAAATGTATCAGGAGGACTACTACGAATCGGATACTGATCCCGATGAGGACTACGAGTTCACAGAATCATCGAGTGACACTGATGAAGACGTCGAATTTGTTGAGTATACTTTGATCGAACGAATTCTCATATTTCTTGGATTCTTGGAGGATCACCAAGCAAAGAAAGTATATGATTCTAGTAGCGATGACGAGACGACGGGCAGAGGTTTCTTCTCCCGTGCTTACGAAGGTGCGACTAACGTCGTTCGCGCCGCGATGGGCGACGATGTCACCGACGCCGCGGCAGTCAAAAAGCCACTGAAGAAACATAATTCGCGGAAGGTAACCGGCGGTGATCACTACGAGAAGAAAGATGCGCACCAGAATATCAAGCGTAAGACGAAAGAGGAATTACAAGCCGATATCGAGAGGCGGAAGCTTGCTTTGGAGAAACGCAAAGCGCGTCGCGCGAAGCGGGCGGAGATTCGCGCCGCGCGCAAAAAGGCGCACAAGAAAGCGCAGGATAGACTCGCCCGTTACAAGTTTGACGAGTCTCAGAATATCGTCAAGTTGCGCTTCAAGTCTTTCGGCGCGCACGCGCCGTTGATGTTGTAAACTATTTGAAAGCAACAAACCATCATCATCATAGGGTTGTGCGCGCGCCCGTGCCACACACACAATTTTTTTTTCCGTTTTCGTTTTCAACGATTTCGACAACCGACGCGTGTTCGCTGTCAGAACGACAACTGGCTCTTTACCGACGGCGCGGTTTGCGCGACGAGTACGGGAAAGACTTTTGCGAGCTCTGCGTCGGTGTCGGCGACATCGATAACCTCGCGCCCACGCGATGTCCTCCGCGTCAGACGCGTCGCGTTCCGAGCGCGGTCGATGGGCGAGCCAGAGCGAAGAAGCGCGCCCCGCGTGGGTCGCCGACGTCAACGCCGATGAACGGAGGAAGAAGTACGCGCTGAGCGAGGAGGAGTACGCGAACAAGATGGCGAGTCGAGTGTCGAAACACCTTCGAGAAGTTCGTCTGGAAAAGTATGCGCAGTTTGAGGATGAGCTCGAACGTCTCACGGCTGACGGCAGTGCGAGCGACAGCGGTGAAGACACTCCAAGAGATTGCGACGGAGACCACGCTGAGGGATTCGATTTAGACATGGCTCTATTCTGGGCTCGACGCCGCGCGGACGCCGTTCGAGCTACGGAGTTGAGGAGCGCAAACGCGATCGAGGAGGCTGAGAGAGAGAGTAGAGCGACTCGCGCTGAGACAGAGTCCGAGGCGCTTCGTCGTGCACTGTCGCGTGAAAAGTCTCTGAACGATCGATTGACCGCCGAACTAGAGAAGAAAATGAAGGAAATCGAACGACTTCGCTCGCAGCTGGCTAAGGCGAGATTATTCAATCCAGAGAGAGAATCTCCACAGCGCGAGTTTTCTGCTCAATACCGACAAGCTAGAAATAGAAAACTTGAGGACGACTTGCCACTCTTCACCCAACTTCGACGGTCGTCCGGCGACACGTGGTTCACGAGAAGGACTTCTCGGTACTAGAGTGATTGTAGGAATATGGGACGATAGGTATATACCGTACTTTTGTACTACAAGTAGTAGCGTACTCGTATGTCAAACATCTATACAACGTTACTGTTAGGTAGGTCGAGCCAGCCGGCGCGATCGAGAGGAGGGATTGATCGTGCTGACTTCTCGCATATTGAGCATGTTATCGAGGTAGGTGTGTAGGTGGCTCGTCATCAGTTCTTCAACAGATTCGACGCCCGTTGACTCAGGATTTCAGAGTCAATAGAATCGCGAGCGATGAAACGCCAGATGCGAACTTCACGCTGCTGCCCGTAACGACGAATACGACCAATCGCTTGCGTCTCGCTGGCAATATACTCTTGAGCAGAGTTCGTGAGAAGTGGGTGAACGAAAATGGCGTGATTCGCCGTCGTCAAGTTGGCGCCGGAAGCGCTCTCATCTCTGCTCAAAAGAAGAAGGACGCGCGCGTCGTCTTTCTTCAAGTTTTCTTTTTGGAACTCATCGAGTGCGCCAGTCTGCTGATGCACACTGCCCTTGAGCTTAAGCGTCTTGATGCCCGCTTCGTTCAGCGCGTTGCTCACCTGCAACATCAAATCAGGGAATTGCACAAAGACCAAGATTCTCTCGTCATCCGGAACAGACTTGATATGCTTGACGAGATCGATGATCTTGGAACCATGAACACCCACGCCCCCATCCGTCATACCGGCCTTCGCACCAACTTCAGTGCCGAGAGAGACGGCGGTCACGACGGAGCTGTCGCGAGTTGCACAATCACAGTTTTCGACGCCGCATTCTTGATTCTCAGCGTGGGACTTCAGGCATTCCAAGCAGCCGATGTGTCCGCACGTTGACAATACGCCGGACCGGGACTTTGCAAACTTCGTCGTACAGACTTGGCAAATAACCGCCTCTTCCAACTTGGCGCGTTGCAAGTCACGAACAGACTGGAAGAAGCGCAAAGAGCGCACGCGACCCACGAGTTCTTTTTGAAGTTTTCGTAAACCGTGCGTGTGCTCTCGTAGCTCCCAAAGCTTGTCCTCCAATGACGCAGTTTTCACCTTCTTCGTGGAGGGCGCCGAGTCAAAGGTGATGCTCGGATCGCCTTCCACGGCTGTGATAACCTCCCATTTCACCTTCGTCAGATCTTCTTCCTTGCGCGTGTTGGCGTCGTAATACATCATAGCCTTTTGTTTCCACTGACCACTGTAGCCTCGAACTTCTCCCGTTCGCCACTCTTGTTCTTCCACAGAGAAAATAGAGATGGTGGAGCCGACTGGTGGGCGGGTTTGCAGGAGATGCGCGGTCTTGGCGGCCTTGGCGTCGGTTTGTTCCTTGAGCACGGTCTTCAAAAGTTCCGTAGCCGTTGGATCACCGATACCTTCGCCTTGAACGCCCTTTTCCCAACGAATGAACGGATTCTCTTCCGGGGAATAGCCATCCATCTTAGAAACTTGTAACAACATGGCGCGCCCCTTGAGAATCGCTTCGCCGAACTCCGTAAGGCAGTCCTCTTGTTGAGTTTTTCGGACGTTCACGATGTCTTGGCACGTTCTAAGAGCGGTACCAGAGTCATCGTCCAGGTCGAAGTGCGCCACGCGCTTGAGCAAAGCTTCCTCAGCGGTTGAGGAGTTCCCGAGCACAGCGGCGAGACGAGCATCTCGGTCGCCTTCCGAGCCGCCGCGCTTCTTCTTCTTCGCCTTCATGTCCATCGATTGCAAGTAATGATCGAGCTCAAGGTAAATCGCTCGCTCAGCGGGACGAAGTTGGACGTCGCAGACGTCTTCTCTGAACTTGATCTCATCGATTTCGGCGATGTTCTGTCTCATGAATCTGTTCAAAAATTCTTGCGCGACTTCCCATCGTCTCTTGTGCCACTGCTGCGTCGGCTTTTCCTTGAAGAACTGGAACGTCTCAACTTTGGTGATTTCAGATTTGTTGAATCGCGGGACTTCGTCGCTACCGAGATTGATACCAAGCAAAGCGGCGGTGCCCTTGATGTCCGAGAAATCGCCGACAGGGGGGGTGCCCGACAAGCACCATCGAGCCTCAGCCTGGAGCCCAAGCACCACAGCCTTGTCAGAGGGCTTCAGGTATGTAAACTCATCGACGATGACTCGACGCCAGTGGAACATCTCGACTGGCACACACTTGATGTCGCGCCAGTCGTATTCAGCTTGAGCGCTTTCTAGCCCCCAATGATCCTTGTTTCCAGCTGATTCCACATCAACATTACTTCGAGGCTTGGAGACGCGCTTGCGCTTGGGTGTCGCCTTTTGGGCGAGTTCCTCGCTCTCACTGTCCTCCATAGATTCATCGTCCCACTCGGAGATGTCATCATCCGTTTCCACGTCGTCATCAACTTCCGCGTAAGACTTCCGCGGCGTGTTCCGGGCAGAAGCTCGCACCGGTGACGTCACGTTTGAGAGGGCTTGCTTCTTGGATGGCGTTCTCTTGATCGGCGTCTTCTTGGTCGGCGTCTTCTTCGGTTTGGTCGGCGTCACCGGAGCACTTGTGGTGTTGATCGGCTTTTGCATGTTCTCCTTGTTCACTCCCCGCTGCTTGTCTCCGAGCATCGCTTCGACGAATTCGAAACCTTCACCACCAGCCTTCTCTGTCATCTCAACAAGTTTGGCACCCTTGAGGCGCTTCGGCGCCGCCGTCACAGCGACATCGCAGAGATTTGATGCACCATGTCGGACGTGCTTGGAAACTTCCGCGACACCGAGCGTCTTGTCCGTCAAACGCATAACTTGTGCTTCAAGACCAGAGATGGTATCCTTGTACACGCTTGAGAAATGACGTGCGGAACCCGTCGACTTTGGATCCGGAAGAGACGGCTTCCCAGAAAGTTGAGCAAGGCGTTCAAAATACAGCGAAGATCTGAACAACGTCGAAGCAACGATGACTACATCCGCTTCGATGACTTCACGAGCAGTCAAGTTGTTGATATCCGTCATTGTCTTGAGGACTACCGTATTCAACGCACCGCGTGCGCTGAACTTTTCCACTTCTCTGGGCCATTGACGGAGCAGTTGCGAGGGAGCGACGACGAGTGTCGCCTTCGTCGGAATCGCCTTAACTGGAGAATCTATCTTCGCTTGTTTGGGCGTCGGAAATTTGAGTTGACTCGCCAAAATGACGCCGATGGATATGGCTGTCTTTCCGTAACCGACCTGGTCGGCGACGATACCGCCGCGGATCACCTTGGACACTTGCGCCATGCCATCCATTCGCAGACCCATCGCAGGCAGAAGCTTCTCAGAGATCTCTTCCTCGACGAAAGGTGTGACGCTCGTTTCTTGGTTGACCATCCAACCGAGCGAACGCAATTGTTCCGGTCGAAGTGGATACTTTTTGCTCCAGTTCGGCGGTTGCGCGACTTGCTTGTCGTGACGATTGCTCTTCAGTTCGAACTCACCAAACTGATCCATGGGGCGGTCGTCGTGACGGACGATCCTCCACGATAGCTTGGGTGCGTTCGATTGGATTCCGCGAACTCCACAAGGTGCCACGAGCGCGAGGGCTCGGTGTACGAGCGTCGCCGGGTTGGCGGCGATGAGCAAGTTACCGGTCATCTTCTCTTGGCTCCACTGCACGACGAACGGTGCTGGTCGACATTTGAGAGCTTGCTCATATTTCGCAGCTTGGAGGGGATCTTCTTTCGCGACAACCTTGGAAGAACCAGCTTGTCGTTGCCAGACGATTTTCGCGGGAATCGGCGCGCAGCGCGCGCACGCAAAACCGTCGCACTGCATGACGTGGTCATCCTTGATTTCGTTCCATTTCTCCACGACCTTCGGGAGCTCCATGCGAGATGTGAACCATTCGAGACGCTGAAAGATAGCGTGGCTCTTGTCAAGCCGGATAGTGGAGTATTCCTCGTTCGGCCAGAAATCAGCGTCGACGTCTGCCAGAGAGACCGATGCGCGCATGATAGCCACCGCCTTGGAGCACGCGTCGAAAGAATCTTGCGTAGGGACAGAGTTCACGGGAGGAGTCAAAACAATCGCGCTTTGCGACACAGCGGGTAGGAGAGCAACATTCGGCGACAAAGGCGTCCAAGTACCATAGCTGTAAGCGATGTGCTCGACGCGTTTCTCCTCGCCCGGGCGGAAGACATTGCCGGACGGTGGCTGTCCGAGGTTCATGAAGTCCAAATGCGCCGTTTCCATGCGATCTTCACCGTACATTAATCGTCGATGGCTATCGGCGAAGACAAAATAATCACACTCTCCTTTTTGATTGCGCCTGGGATCCAAGAAGAAGTACATTTCGCGGCCATTTTGAGCGCCACCGACGCGCTTGTGCAACGAGCTTTGAGCAGCGTCACACTTGTCGTAGAGCTGATACGTACCCGTGATGTCACGATCAAAAGACTTTGCGTTCTTTGAATCCTTCAGAGTGACTTGGTACTGCGTGTAGCGCTTTTTCGCCCACACTACGTCGCCGTTCACAGCGCTCGTTGTTTGCATACCGAGCTTGATTTGCCAAGACTCTTCGAGTGCACCCTTGCCTTCGAGCAAAATCGGGACTGCGGCACACTCTGGCGAGAAGAACTCCCACACGCCATCCAATACACTCTTCGCAGATTCACTGAGAAGCATGCGCATGAGCGGACGCTGATAGAATTCATGTGGCTTACCCTTCTTGATCGACGGATCGACAAAGATCAACCATTCGGCCGCGTTGGGTGCGATTCGCAGTTCCAATCGGACTTGATCTTCAGCCGCGCACGCGTAGTACACGCGCCAGACATTAGTTCGCTTCATTCCCCGGAAGAGGAAATCAGCTTCACCAATGGACTTCATCGCGCCCAGCCAGTCGTTCCACGCGTCGTCGGTGATGGACCCAGGTTTGGTGAACATCGTCGAACTCAGGTCCAGCTTCATGTGCATCGGAAGAGAACTCTTCAGTTGATCCTGGAAATCCTCAGGCAAGATGCGATCTACGATGTGCTTCTCGTAGTTGTGCTCTGGACGACCGCAGCACTTGACGCAGCACGTGTGCGCGCAGTCGCGGCAGATGACGAGGGAATCGTGATCGGTAGTACCGGTTTCACCCTCACACACGCACAAGCGAGCCGAGCGATTCGCCTTGTTCAGAAGCTCTTTCAAGGCGATTGGCTTCATACCGAGATCGAGTGGACGCTTCACCAACTTGTCCTGACCAATCACGTCTGCCTTGGCCGCAGCGGCAGCTTGAACAACGGTTAAAGAGCCCTGCGTGGATTGAGCGCTCTTTGAAGAGTCTTCGCCGTCGAGCTGCAACGCGCGTCGTGCCGTCCTTGGTTTCTTTTCAGCCAGCGTGTCAGTCATGAGCGTCATGGCGGCGAGCATGCATGCGCCGACGACGGTCGTCGTCATCGCATTGCCAGCCAAGTCGCTCATCTGGTTTTCGCTCTCCCGCGTCAATAACAAGTCATCAACCGGGATACCTTGCAAACTCAACGCTTCGATGCCAACCAGTGGACCACCGCGGTTCGTCACAAACGGTACCATTGAAGGCGTCAGGCACGGGCAGATGCCCGGCGCGACGGAACCCGTGGTGCGATCGACATTCTGAGAAAGGTTCCAGACCAATGTCTTGTGCATAGAATCGATATCTAATTGCGCCAGGCGTAAATAATCGATATCCATCAAGTCGAGTACGCGATCCGTTTGCGCTTTCCCCCAATCGTTCCAGGCGTAATCCGGAAGTGTGCAACCGCCATCCCAATGAGTGAAGGGTCGTCGCTGGCCCAAGCCTTCTTCCAAACGCGCGCGCTGATGGCGAGATTCGCAACGACCCCAATCGGTGTTAGCGCGCGTCGAGTCTTCACCCGGTCGCGCCAGCATGCGTCGACCTTCGTGCACGCGTGGATCGTCGGCATCGAATAGGAAAGCCTCGAGCGTGGCGCTCGCCGGTCGCTCCAGAGCCTTCACTCGTTCTTTCCACATTTCCACCAGCTTTGGATCGTCAGCCTTGCACGCGAACAAATAGACACGCGTACGAGTGTGCGGAATATAGAATCGCTTCGTGTCGACGCGCATAAATCGTGCGTGGTAACCTTCGTCCTCAAACTTCTTCTGCACTTGATCCCACGGGGCATTGCACACGTTCTCCAGAATGATGATCGACGGCTGGCTCTTTCTGATCCAGTTCATCATACCCCTGAACGTTTGACCAGATTCACCTTGTGCGTCCAAACCCTTTCGCTCATTATTGAGGTTGGAGTAATCAACACATGAGGTGCCCGCGACGAGCATGTCGACATCGTGCGGCACGCGAACCTTGGCGCCATACGCCGTCGTGGCCTCGTCACCGCCGAGCTCACGTATATCCCGGAAGAGAATCGGCGGCGCAAAGTTTCTCTCGATGTATGCCTGCTTAAAGGGCTCGATCTCACACGAAAAGACGTGATCGATCGGCATGCGAGTACCATATAGCTTTTGCGTCGCGTCCGCAATCTTGTCCAATGCGAGAAGCGGAGACTCCGTGCCAGAGCACATCGTCGCCACACGCAAAGGGCGCTTAATCGTGTTCAAAAACGCTTCAATGCCTGGCACGCGGCTGACGAGATCCTCAAACATGTCACCGATGTCGCGAATCACCGCGAGATGCTCAGCAAGCTGCGTTCGTGGGTTGCCACTGCCACCGTCGCTACTACCGTCGCTGCGATTCGACTTACGAGGCGACCCACCAGGAGTTCTGTCAGGAAAACAAATCGGTGAACGCGGTATGTTAGTCATCGTATCGTAATAGCGCGTGCAGCGCACGAGCATCGGTCGCGCCTCGGGAAGATCCGTCGCGGATCTGTCGCGGTTGCCGCGGATAATCGTCGCATCGGTGAAGACCTCGTGTCTTACCCACGCATACGTGCGACCCGCTCGAGCGTCGCGCGCTGATCGTTTAAATGAACAATGACTCACCTCTTACTCATCGGCGTCGGCGGTGCGGAGCCGTTCACGACGCGCGCTTTGTACTTTTTTGGTGTCGCCCTCCCGCTCGACGTCTGGCTCGGCGCCTGATCGTAATCTTCGTCCCCGTCGAACGCGTCCCCGTCTTCCATCTTCACCACCATCCTCTTCATTTTTTCCCCAGCCTGCGTCGCCGCCGCGCGACGCGGAGTCCCTCGTCCAGCGGGTGAATTCGGCGCTGAAGCGGCGTCGGCGCCCGCGCCGCGCGCCTTCATCTGCTTCTTCACCGGCGTCGTCTTCGGCGTCGTCTTCGGCGTCGTCTTCTTCCCCGCCATCGTCCCTCGGCGCGCTCGTGGATTACCACTGCGTCCCTCGAACCTTTCCTATCTTTTCTCGATCGATCGCCCGTGAATCACCGCGCGCGTCTCGAGACGCGTCGTAAATGTCGAACGTTCCCCCGATCGTCGAAAGATGTCGTCGACCGCCACGCGTCGTCCCGACCGACGCGCGCGCGAGCTCCCTCAAACTCGCGCGCGCGCGGACGATCAACGTCGCCTCGTTCGCGGTCGACGCCTCGCGCGCGTCTTCACACCGCGCGTGCGTCGGCGTGTGCGACGCCTCCGCCGTCGAGGATCGCGCGCGCTCCGACAGCTGGAGACAAAAAAGCGCGCGAAAATGACTCTGTGTCGAGTCATGACTCCTGCACACGTTTTCGACACGACTGGAAAAAATCTCCCAATCCCACCCGCGGTTTCGGGAAAACGTCGACAATCGTCGACACCCCAACCCATGTCCACGCTCGGTGTGGACGCGTACGGGAGCGATGACGGGGCGAGCGCGGAGGACGACGCGAGCGCGGAGGACGAGGATGGATTCGTGGGACCGACGCGACCGCCGGGGTGGGAGATCGAGCGCAAAGGCGCGAGCGATGGGGAGGATGACGAGGCGTACTTGGCGTCGATGCGAGACGATGACGATGACGATGACGCGGGAGAGGACGAGGGGTGCCACGTCCCGGCGCGATGGGTCGATCGGGTGAGGATACCGCCAGAGCCCGCGAGCGCGGCGGCGACGGAGACGCAGGCGAGAGTGAATGAGATTTTTCTCGAAGCGCTTCGAAGAGGGTTGACGCCGAGCACGATGATGTTCGCCTCGTCCACCTTTCGTAATCCTGGATTTATGGAGACGTGCTCGGCGGATCTGGGGGAGGACGCGTTCGCCACGGGAGCGGCTTTTGCGTTCGACGGCGAACCGGTGCCAGAGGAAGACTTCTACGGCGCACTCGCCCAAGAACAAAAGCTCGTCACCGAGAAGTATTTGGCCGATAGAAACGGTATTTCATTCAGAAGCGCGGGAAAACAGGCGGCACCCGCAGCGGCGGCACAGGTACCGGGAGATGAGGCGCGCCAGGCGACGATCAACGCCGCCATAGCGAAGGCTCGAGTCGAGGCGCGCATTGCGCTTGAAAAAGCAGGGCGTGTGCCGCCGAGTTGAAAAGTCTTCGTTCTTCTTCTAGATGAATAGTATAGTACTAGCAATGTAATCGCCCGTGGCAAACTAATTTTCACTCCAATTCACTCCACCATCGCTCGAGCTCTGGAGTTGTCGAGCGAAGGTACGACTCTGCTTCGCGCGCCTTTTCATGAGCCAGAGAAGTCACCGCCTCGAGCGCGTCTTCGCGCCAAACTTCAGCAATCGAAGATTTGGATGTGAGTGCATCATTCAATTGCGCTGTGCGAGCCTCACACCAAGCCACGGCGGCTGAGACATTTGCGGGGGAATCCAACATGTTCAAGGCTGCCCTAGTTTCATCCGTCGACGCGTCTGCGCGAATGTTTCGCACTGCGAAGACAGATGTGATGTCTTGGAGAGAAAGTCCGACGAGCGAAGCTACTTCGTTCGCGTCTTCTTCTTGCAACATCGTCTCCGCGATTGACTGGACGCCCTCCGTGCTTCTCGAGAGGTGCACAACGGCGGCTGAAATGCGAAGTAAGCGCACAACCAACATGCGCACAGCCTCAACGAGAGAAACGCATGGAGGCACGTACTCTGAGCACTTATTGTGAAGCTGCTCGACCTCATCCTCTCGTCTCGCCAACTCGCGCCTGAATCGAAGTGTAAGCTGCTGTTCAACGGCTTTCTTCGTCTCCTCTCTCACTGTGTTCAATTGTGATGCGCACTTTTCTAGTCCCTCCTTCAGTCGTTCTGCCTCGTCCTCGCTCGCCGCCAGTTTGGCCTTTGTGTCCCTGAGCTCGGCATTCGAGGACTCGAATTCCTCTAACAACGCATAACCACCCTCATGCGTTTCCTTAACGAGATCCTGCTGTGTAATTCGTGCCTGCAGACGCGCGATGTGCTCGTGCGAGTTCGCCAGCTCCTCCTTGAGAGCGGCGAGTTCAGCCTCAGTTTCTCCTGCCCAGCTGTTTTGGACACGTTTCGTCAACTCGGCGATTTTCGTCTCCGAGTCATTGACATACTCTAATAACTTAGCTCGCTCGCCTTCGTGTTGCTCGCGAAGACGCTGCATGAGCTCCCTATATCTCTTGCATCTCTCGATGTGCGCCCGGCGCTCTTCATCGCTTGGCTTGTTGCTCGCCAGCCACTCCTCTTCTTTGCGTTTCTGCTCGGCCAATTCCGCCTCCAGGTTAAGAAGCCTCGCACTCATGACCTCAGCAAAGGCCTGAAGAGCCGTTGCATCGTGCTCGAGCGCTCTACTCGCCACTTCGTACTTGCCATCACGTTCTGCAAATACATCCTCCAATCGCGCGCTGATGCTTTCCAGCGCTTTCATAGCGCTTTCAATGCTCGGCGCCACTTCTTCATCACGCCGCCTAAGCTCTTCATATAGGCGCTCGACCTCTACTCTGCTCGCGTTTACGTCGCTTCTAGCTGCCGCAGCGACAATCGCTGCCGCTCTGTTGTCTTCGAGCGCGACAGCGACAAGCGTTTCTGTGTCGGTGCGCGTCTCGACAGCTTGTGGACTTGTGATCGCTAAATCTGTCGACGTTGACGACATGTCGACTCCAGAAGCATTATTTTGCTTTTCAAACTCAGCGAGACGTTCGCGAGCGACGCGTACTTCCTCCAATCCACTCTCAGCCTGAGCGGTTGCTTTGCTCAGACGATCACGCGTTTCCTCGAGGTCGCGCGTGACCTCTTCAAGTTTCTGGCGAGACTCAATTTCGTCGGCGACGCGTCTCTCCAGCTCCTCGGACGCGGCACTGATGGCCTGCGCTTGTTCTTCCACTAACGCGCTCAGTTCTTCATTTTGTTGTTCGAGCGCTGGCGCTCGAATATCATCTTTCATCAGAGCGATTTCAGCGTCAAGATCCGCGACGGTACGAAGCGCCTCGCGAAGGCGGTCTTGTTCCTGGAACAGTTCTTTCTTCGCGTTATCGCGTGCCACTGATATAGTCTGCATGGCGTTCGCGGCAGAATCTCGAGCGGCGAGAAGTTCATTCCCTGTGATCTCGAGTTCTTCGATGCGAGCTTTCATCAATTGAACCTGTTCCTCTCGCTCTAGCAGCTCTTCTTCCAACTCGTGCAGCTCCGACTCGTTTTCATGCGCTTCACGAGCGATAGTTCGAGCCAATTTTGCGCTTCGACTCGTCGCCGCCGTCAGACGCTTCTCCATCGAGCTCAAGGCGTTCGAGCCGAAAGATGCGTACGACTTTTGCGACAGCTCGAGAATCGCGCACACGTGATCAAACGCGGTTTTCGTGGCCGCACTCTGGTGCTCTAGCTTGGCGATGTGTCTCATCGCGGCGAAGAATGCCGCTTCGTGCTTCATAGCTGACGACTCCAACCGACATATCGTGCGCTGGGTATCCATGAGCACCGCCTCAAGTTTGTGGTTCGTCTCTTCGCTCCCAACGGGCTTGGTTCTCAGAACATTCTGGATGTCTCGGCAAAACTTTGTGACTGCGTGCGCATCGCTCGCCTCCGCGACGCTCTGCTCGATGTGCTGCTTCAACTCTAGAATTTGCGCAGCGCTAAAGTCACCCATACGCTTCATTTGTAGCTGTAAAGCCTGCTCGCACGATTTTCTACCGATTTCTGCGTCAAGCGCTTCCCGCTCCGCGTCGTCCAGGTAGTCGAGGAGCTCGAGCTCCGTCTCCATGTACGTGTAACACTCCTCCGTTTTCCACTCAAGCTGAGCAGACAAGACCTGCTCTCGCTGATGCGCGGCGATTGAGATCGCCTCATACGTGTTCGCTCGCTCGGATTCGCCCTTGACTTCGTGACGAAGTTGTCGAACTTCTCCGGCGAGGAGCTCTCGGTCGTTCAAGAGCGTTGCGTTTTCTGTTTCAAGAGCCACAATCTTGTCGCGCGCCTTGCTCAGTTCACGTTGCAACCAAACACCATCGATCGCGACCTCTCGATCGCTCTCCAAAATCGTCACAGTCTCCCTGAGTGCGAACAACTCCTCCTCCCGCTGGCGCAACGCTTTCGCGTAGTGCTCTCGCTCTCTCGCCGCGCCCTCAGACATAGCCTCTGCGGATTCCGCCGTGAGTTTGTTCGTCGCGATTTGCTCTCGCAGTAGCGTTTCGAGCCGTCCAAGTTCGTTCGCTTGCGTTGCGTTTGTACCTCTGAGTCCCTTGATCACTACCTTGAGTGACGAAATTTTTTCCAACGCGTTTTTGAGTTTAGCGTCCTCTCGCGCTGACCTCGTCGACGTCGACACCGCCGCGAGTTCTGCTCGCTCGGTGCCAGTCTTCACGGCACGAAAACCGAAAGATGAGCTCTCCTGCGCTTCGAGCGTCTCCCGAAGGGCGAGCCGAGTCTCAGCGAGTCTGACGCGCAGTCTATCCGCCGAGCCTTCGTCTTGGTCGTCAGTTGGATACGCCCGTCTCTTGATTTCGTCGAGCTCCGTTTCAAGCACCGTCGCTTTTGACTTCCAAGCTTCAGCGGCTTCGTTCGCTTGCGCGCGCTCAGCGTCGAGCGCGGCGACGCGCGCGACGAGAGCTCGCTCACGCTCCTCCGCCGCGGTTTCGCGATCGATTTCCAACTTGTCGCGCGACAGCAACGTTCGCTGTAATCGCTCCTTCAGCGACTCCGCGTGGCTCTCGCCCGCTTCGAAGAAATACGTCGCCTCATTGTGTACCTCGCGCAGCTTTTCTACGTTGGCGTTCGCCTCTCGAAGCTCTCCCCTGAGACGCGCTACGACTCCGCGTTCGTCCTCGAGCGCCCGCTCCAGTCGCGCGCGCTCGCGGCGTCCACCCGCAATTTTCCTTCGCGCCCGCGTGCCCTCAAACCCCTCGTTCGGGTGGTCATTTTCATCGTTCGACCAATCGCTATCCACCATGGCGTCATCGCGTCGTCGATGTCTCCTTCCGTCGAGTCCGCTTTGTTCGCGTCTTCCCGCCTCTCTCTCGGCGCGCGCGTTCGCGAGCTCCCTTCTCAACGCCGCGATCGTCTCATCCTTCCGTTCCAGCGCCTCTAAAGCGCGCGCGGACGTATGTTCGAGCTTCCGTCGCAGTTCCACCGCCGCATCGTTCGTCGTCGTCGTCGTCGTCGTCACCCCCGACCCATCCATCGCGCTCAACGACTTTGATGAAAATGCAACCGATGCCCACGCGTCGCCCGTCGTCTCGCCCGAGCCCCGGCCGAGGTCGAGCTCCGTCGCGCCCGCGGTGCGCCCGAGCGCCGAGCGCGCGCGCGGCCTCGACGTCGCGCGGTGCCACGCGCGCCGTCCGAGCGCGCGACCGCGCCACACGGACGATTCGTGAGACGCGATGTGTGTGTATCGCGGACCCTACAAACACCCGCGTGTGTGACACCCCACGCGGCCGCGCCCACGCGTCGCCACATCATGGTGCACCTGTCGCGACCGCACACGATCCACGATGACTACGCCGCGACGCGTGGGTTACGACGATCGAACGCGGGGGTGGTGACGACGTTCTGCGTCCTCTCGGGCGTCGCGTCGGTGATGTACGCGTACATCGCGCGACGACGCGCGGGGACGGCGGCGACGGCGGCGACGGCGAATCCATCCGCGCGCTCGAAGACGTACGACGGGACGCGGTCGCGGAAACACAGAGACACGTGGAGGTCGACGTGGGATAAAGGGACGCCACGACAATACGTGAAGAACTTACAACACGATCCGGCGGGGAAACAATGAGAGCACGGAGGAAGCGACGGGACGACGGCCGCGCTGACGAGGCGCGGCGGTCGCGCGCGCGCGTCGCGCGACTCGGCGCACCGGAGACGAAGGGGTGTACAATTTTGTGCGATACGTGTAAAGAAAATGAATTGTCATGTACTACGAACGCAACGCGAGCGCGTCGACGCGTTCTTCGTCGTCTGTTGAATGTTTTCAGCCGTAGGCGCCCATCGATTAATCGTCTCGGAGGACGTGACGGTCGATGTCGCCCAGCTCCTCTGAGCCTTTCTCACGCTACTTTCTCTTCAACGCGGCGTTCGCGACCGGGGTGAGACCGCGCTCGAGATCGCGTGGATTGAACGCATCGATGGATTCGTCGTCCAAAAACGCGAAACAACGCTCGAAACGCTCGCGATCGATCGCCACGGGAGCTTCCCAATGCGCCGGAACGACGCGCTCGGGATCCCAGCGAACGGCGACTCGACGCACCCAATCTTTCACCGAGCTCGGGTCTTGCGCGTACAGAAGCGTGCGCACGACCGGAGGTACGAGTAATCGTCCTGCCAACGCCTGAAAGTTTTCGTGCCAACCGTCGGTCCAAATCACCACGCCCGGGTGGCTCGGATCGAGCTCCTCGTGCTCGGGGAAAAAGTAGTTCACCAAGAGCGCCGTCTTCTCCCAACCAATCTGTCTCGCCTCTCGCGTGTCCTCGGGCACGGAATCCGCGGTCGAACGCTGAGAGACGACTAATAACTTATCTACTGAATTCGACTCGGGCGGTTCGATCGGAATTTGTGCCAAGGCGTCGGTGACGACGAGCGTCTTACTCGCCTTGTGGAAGAACGCCGTCTCGTAAATGATCTGCGAGTTCGCGCCGACGTCGAAAGCGCCCGCGCGAAGGGTCTCGAATTCAATCTCATCCTTCCACGGTGCACTGGACGTAAGATCATTCCCCTCCAGGACGTAATCAACGCGCTTACCGAACACGACGCCGTCCGAAACGTCTCTGAAAGGAAACGTGAACTGCCCCGGCGCCGTCGCGAGCGTGGCCGACTTCCACCTCTTGAGCGCGTCCTTGGTGTAGATTTTATGCTCAAGCGCGTACGTGGGGACGACGACGTGCGCGACCGCGCTCGCACCGCCCTCTCCGCACGATTCTACCATTTTAAAAAACTCCTCCGTCGGCGCCAGCGGCGCGTGCACCCACAACGTGCCGTCTCTCAACCTAATCACCACGCATCGAATGACCGTCTCCAGCGGTCCGAGCTCGATGTTTTGTTCTAACGCCCACAAAACGTTCGGAACGATCTCCCGCTTCCTCGTTTCCCTGTATCCCTCGCCTAGGAATGGTCGAAACAGAGTCGGAAACGTCTGCTCAAACGCGCGCTCCGCGTCGAGCGCGCTCGCCCCGTCCGTCGCCGCCATCGCCTCCGTCGCCATCGCGATCGGCACCATCGCGCTGAACATCGCGAGCGTTGACCTTCGACTCTTCACCCGTTCCATCGTCGTCGTCTCCGTCGTCTCCGTCGTCCTCGTTCGCTCGTCAACCACTCCGTCCAAGAGCTCGACCGATTCCACCGTCGTCGCCGCCGCGCTCGACCGTCGTCGTCGTCGACATCGCGCGCGTTCGAGCGCGCGATCACGGTCGCGCGCGCTCGACGTCGACGACGACCGCGCGGTCGTCTTCGCCCGTCCCACGACGTCCATCGTCGTCGTCACGCGACGACGAGTGCGGGGCGTGCGGTGTCGAGCCACACGGCGACGCTCGAGCGTCGACGCGCGCCGACGCGCCGACGCCGACGCCGACGATGACGTCCGCGTCGACGTCCTCGCGCGCCGTGGTCGGACGCATCGTCGGTCGACGCAGGGTGAGCGCGAGGTTGGCGTTTTACGACCTCTTGGTCGAGGCGAGCGCGACGGTGGCGTGGTCGACGACGACGGACGACGGCGACGACGCGTCGCGCGGCGGACGTCTCGGTGATCGCTCGTCCTCGGCGTCGCTCGAGGGGTTGGGTCGATCGGAATCGGTCGTCGTGGAGTTGGTGGTGAAGCTCGGCGCGGAGGCGTTCGCGGATGAGGACGCGCTCGCGGCGGCGAGACGAGAGGCGTTCAAGCTAGGGAACGTGGTCGACGTCGTGGGAAAACTCACGCGAGGACGACGGGACGGACAAACGAAGTCGCGTTCGACCGCTGCGTGGGTACTGACGTGCGAGGGGGTGAACGAAGTCGTCGAGGCGTGGGCCACGGCGAACCCGGGAAAGTGCTTCGCCAGGGAGCTCTACGTGCGACCGGCTGCGCCGAGGGATGACTCCGCGGAGTCCAAACCGGGAGACACGCCGGCACCGTGTAAGTTTTTCATCAATAATGGATACTGCGCGAAGGGCGACGCGTGCAAGTACGCCCACGATCGCGCGGTGCAGAGGGAGTGGATAGCGGCGAGGAAGGCGAAACGTCGAGAAATCGCGGCGACGCAATACGGAGACCCGCATGGAGATGCGGTAGCGAATAAGAGCGCGCGCGCTGTGAAATTCGCCGAGTGGTTGAGAGGAAAGTTTGGCGATGATGTATTGAATGCGGGCACCGGGATCTTGGACGTCGCGGGCGGTCGAGGTGACATTTCGTTCGAACTCTTCACCAAGCAAGGCATCAAGAGCACGCTCGTCGAACCTCGGGCAAGAAAGCTCAACAAACAGCAGCACAAATGGCTCAAGGCGAGGGAGAAAAAGTTCAAGACGGAATCGGACGACGGCGCTTCGTTCCAGAAGCCCGAGCTATGCGAGCAAATTAAGACGGAGTTCACGAGCGAGAACTGGCACCTGTTCAAGGACTGCTCCGTCGTCATCGGCATGCATCCGGATCAAGCCACGGAAGCCATCGTCGATTTCGCGAATCTATACGACAAACCGTTCGCGATCGTGCCGTGCTGTGTGTTCCCAGAGTTGTTTAATCACAGGCGAGATCGTCAAGGTGCGCCGGTTACCGAAAGGATGGCGCTCGTGGAATACCTCGCCGACAAAACTGGGGGAAGTGTCGAGTACCTTGACATCGAGGGCGCAAATCAGGTTGTGTTTCGGACTAGCTAGAGAAGTATGTGTATTAATAATCGCTAGGAATTGGTAGGAATCATCGCCAAATCGCGCGAACGACGCCGACTGCCATCGTTTTACCGCCCATTCGCAAAGTAACGCGGCTCAACGTCGGAGAAACTTCGACGGGCTCGACGCACACGTTTTGGGACGTCTTCAATCTCAAAATTGCGCTCTGTTCGCGCGTAATACACCTAGGGTTCGGCTTTATCACGGCACCTGTGAGCGCGTCCACTTGCGCGATGAGTTGATCCACCGTCGCGTCGCACGACAGCATGTGCGAGTGCAACACCACCTTGGAGCCCTTCAGAAGCGGAACGCGAAGAACTTCGGTGGTGAGAACACTAATCTCGATCTCGTTCGTGGAAGTCATCGGATACGCCGTATGGCACAAAACACTCCCCACTTGCAAGTGCAACGGATCGACATCACTCAATCCGACGTCGACGGAGGCGCCGACGCCGGCGAAGTCCACGGGTAATCCGTCAATCTCGATGCACTTGATCGTCGCTGTAATGTTCGCTGGCATTATCGACACCTTTTGACCTTTGAATACGCTTCCCGACTCAATCTTACCCCCACAGGCGGTCGCACCGAGAGAACGAACCTCCGTGACAACGTCCGCGATCGGTAGGCGAAGCGGCTTGGGCTCGCCGCGCGACGGAATCTTGATCGACCGAAGAGCGTCCACGAGCGTCGGTCCTCGGTACCACGCCTTCAAGACTTCCGGTAAGGCGAAATCGTCCGGCGATATATTCACTCCCTCCATGCCCGAAGCTGGGACGAACGTCAACTGCTCGGCGCCGAAGCCGACGTCGCCGACCAGAAATCTCGTGAGCGCGTCGACGATGTGTTGAAAACGCTCGAGCGAGTACTCGACGCAGTCCATCTTGTTCACCACTACGATGAGAGAGTGCAGACCAAGATATTTCGCCAAGCGCGCGTGCTCACGTGTTTGTCCAGTGTGACCGGTGGTGACCTCGAATCCGTTTTCAAATCCACCCACGGCGCCGTCGATGACTAAAATTCCGGCGTCCGCCTGGGCCATGCCGGAGATGGCGCTCGGCACGAAATCCCTGTGTCCTGGTGCGTCCAAAACAACGAGCTGTCGACGTTCGTCTAACGTGCATCGTTTGACGCTCACGTCGATCGTCACCCCGCGCTCGCGCTCCTCTGGTCGAGAGTCCATGACCCACGCCCAGGCGAAGGACGATTTGCCGCTCGCCTTGGCGTCCCTTAAATTCTTATGCACCGCGCGATCGTCCACAGCCTTGAGCGCGTAGAGGACGCGTCCGCTCAGCGTCGATTTCCCGGCGTCGACGTGTCCCATCACCACCACGTGCACGTCGCCGTCCTCCGAGGCGTACGCCGCGCGTTCCGCGCTCGACGGTTCGTACCCATCGAACGCGCCATCGCCCCCCCCAACGCGCGCCTTAACATCGAACTCTCTCGTCAACCCCTCCGCTCGCGTCTGCGTCGTCTCCGCGCTCGTCGTTCCTCTCTTCCTCGCCGCCTTCGCCGCCGCGTCCGGAGACGGCGCGTCGAACGCGAACGTCCCGCGCGCGCTCGTCTTGCCCCCCCCCGGATGCCTCGCGTTCTCCTCCGCCCGTCGCCGCGCCGCGATCTCTTCCTTTCCCACCGTCCGGTGCGTCGGCGCCGTCTTCATCGTCTCGAACGTTTTCGTCGTCGTCGTCGTCGTCGTCGTCGTCACCGTCACCGTCTCCCCATCGCTCTCGCTCTCGTCGAACCCGTCGTCGTCGTCGTCGTACGCGTCGTAGTAATCGTCATCGTCGCGTCCCCACCCACCCTTACGGGACATCGTTCGCGCGCGTGCGAGGCGACGGGTGCGCGTGTGAGGCGATGGTTTCATTATTTTTTGACAAATTTTTAAAGACGACGCGTCGAGCGACGCGCGAGACCTCGACGCGTCGCGCCCGTCGTCACGCTCGCGCGCGAACGACGGGCGATGCGCGCGTGGACGGTGGCGCCGCGCGAGGCGTGGACGGCGACGCGCGCGGGCGTGGTGGGTCGACGGACGCGATGCGATGGATGGGTGGACGCGCGCGCTCGGACGCGCGCGGTGGAACGACGGACGCGCGCGCGCGCGCACGGATCGCGCGCGGGGGCGCGGATGATCGTGGGCGCTTTGGACGAAGGGCGAGGGACGGGGAGCGTGACGCGGGCGCTCGGACGAGATACGCGGGACGGGGAGTCGGACGGCGCCGACGCGAGGCTGGCGGTCGCGCCGGGATCGATCGTCGAGAGTGATTCGCTGAGCACGGATCTGCGAGAGCGCACGCTGAAAGCGATTGAAAAGGCAAACTATCGCGCCACGGCGGGGGACGTGAGCTCGATTTCCGGCGCGAGCGCGTACGATACGCAGAGGGCGCTCAACGCGCTCGCGGCGGATACGCGGGCGACGCTCGAAGTCTCCAGCGTTGGCGATCTCACGTACGTCTTCCCGAGATCTAGTAGAGGAATCTTAGCCTCCAAGTCGTTCAAGATGAAGTGGGAACCGTTCTTGAACGGAACAAAGGGAGTGCTTTCGTATTTGTTTCGCGTGGCGTTTGGGACTTCGCTCGTGGCGAGCGTCATGATCGTCTACACCGCCATCTTCGCGCTCATGGCGAGCTCGAAGAGCGGCGACCGCGATCGAGACGATAGGCGATCGTTCGGTGGGCCGCGATTTTACATCTCTCCTTTTGACTTGTTCTGGTATTGGGATCCGTACTACTACCGCCGTCGACGCCTCAACCGCGAGATGAACTTCTTTGAGGCTGTCTTCAGCTTTGTCTTCGGCGACGGAGACCCGAACATAGATTTTGAAAAGATGCGATGGGAGTTAGTCGGTCGGGCGATTCGCAAGAACAAGGGCGTGATGACGGCGGAACAGCTGGCGCCGTATCTGGACACGGCTGGGTACGAAGATGAGTCATTTGTTTTGCCAGCTCTCACCCGTTTCGAGGGCACACCCGAGGTGAATTCCGTCACCGGGTCGATAATTTATCGTTTCCCAAACATGGAGTCCACCGCCGGAACGACGTCCACGCGAAGTCGAGGTGAGAGCGATGCGCTCGCGCAAGAAGAGCGATGGGTGTTTTCCAAAGCTGAGGCTGCTCAGAGATTCCAAGCGGGTCTGCTCGGCGTCGCAAACTTGGTGGGCGTCATCATCTTGGCCAACATGATAAACGATCCGCAAATTATGTACCGTGGTCGCGATTACATCGAGCTCGCGCGCGCGTTCTCGGGATTGCTTCCAGGGTTGATGACGTACGCGGTGCTGTTCTTCATCGTGCCGCTCTTGCGATATTTGCGTAATCAGGGTAAGAACAAGGCGATCGACGCGCGTAACAACGCTCGATTGCTCGCCGCTCGGCGAATCGCCCAACCCGAGCCTAGACTTGCCGCCAAACTCGCCGCGGCGTCGTCGTCTTCTTCCCAGCGCGTCGTCGGCAAGGCTGTGTACACCTCTGAGGAGGGCCGGGGCGATGACTTCGAGCTCTCCGACTTCGATCGTCGCCTGCGCGAGAGGAATTAACCCCTCCGAGGCTTTTAATTTGATCTCTCCATCTCTCACTAAAATCACCGCGTCGTCCTCGATCGCGACTTTGTCCTAGGTGCTACTAACGTGACCGAACGCTCTTCGTCTTCTTCGCTTAAATCGGCGTGAGAAGCGACAACACGCTCGGCTCGGGCGTGGTGTTCATGCCGACGATGATGATGACGGGTATGATTGCGTAGTGCAACGCATCCGAGGCCAACGCGCGCGCGATCACGGATTTGAACGACGCCATGACGCGACGAACAGTGGAGACAGATCCTCACGCGCGAGGGTCCAGGGGAGGCGCGCTCGTCATCGCGGTCCCGTCTGCGCGGTGTTGGTGTGATGTATGTAAAACATTATTACAGAGACGGATGCGATAGACGCGTTGACTAAGAGAAACCTCAACGCAACGCATCGCAGCTATCTCACACGTTCGCGCCGTTAGTTCCGACGCCAGCGCTGTTTTGCGCCAAGTTTCGCTTGCGAGCCACGACTTGGACTACTTCCTTCAGATTAGCGCAGTTGGCGATATCTGGAGCCGAAATCACCGCCGCTTGCTCCGAGGCGTTGATCAAACCGACAAGAATCGGTAAACCGACCGAGACTAGACCGATTTCGTCAAACGAGTCTTCCATGGAGACTTTCTCGTCCACTCCTGTGAGAGCCACGACGGCGTTTAACACAGATTGTTCAGGAGTCAAAGCTTCTGTATCACGTCTCGCTGTCTTCACCGAGCCTGGCCATATGATATTCTGGAAGAAATCGATAAACCTAATCCACAGAACGGTTAGCGGTGAATTTAGGTACTTATCCACGAGACCGGAGAAGAGGGTAACCAGACCGACGATGAAGAAGAACTCGTACCATGCGACTGGAAGTGGTTGAGGTGAAAACCAGTAGTACTCTTTTGGATATGCCCACCATGACCAGTGATACTTATTTCCGACATCACTTGCATGTACATTATTTCCCGACCGCGTTGCCCACCAGTACCATTGGCAGACGAGTTGATGAAAGAGGAAGCAACCGTAGCTCTTCGGCGCAAGCGTTTTTGTGAGCGTCTGATTTTCGAGTATACGCGTCGTGATGCTTCCTCCGGGAGTGGCGAGCAACGCTACCCAAGCCGCGATCAACGGCGAATAAAGTCGCGTGGTCATAACGGACCATACATATCGCTTGATCCCTGTAGACCAGTTGTGATGTTCGTCTGCGGTGACTTCCCACATTTTCCCGGCGACGTTTGTGGGGTACGGCCAGTTGATGTCCAGAAAATGAGCGAGATGATACGCGATGAACGCTAGGGTTAAAATGTCTGCAAGACGTCCATATAAGGCGCGACGGTGCGACTGACCTGGTCGCACGGCATCAAACCAGAAATAACTAGCCATACCAGCGCCGACGCACGGAACCCAGTACGGCGGAAACATCATTGTAGATAGCGCGTAGATGTTTTGCGCGTTCTTTTCCCAGCTCTTCGCCCTGTGGAGGTCTTCGTATTCCTCCCAGGGTGGGAATGCAAAATAAACGCCCAAGATTCCCGCAGTTATCCAGATTCCGATGGTATAAAAGATGAACCATTTTGTGACGGCCTTCACGTCTCCTTTGACACGGGCGAGTGCGTTTTGCATGTACGGAAACACGAGAATGATGAAGTAGTATACGCCGTTGAACCACGTGTAGTACATAAACCACGAACTCAGGAGCCAAAGTGGGAACCAGGTTTGAAGACCGATCGAAAAGACGACGGTTGTCATGACGAACCAAGCTCCGTAAGGCATCTCGACTGGTCCAGAGTAACACTGCGCACGTCCACCGCTTGCTAACGTATACGTGTCCTCGTGAGGTTGCCAACTAAACTTTGCACTGTAAGTATCGGGCCGACAAACGATCAACATATTTATGAGACCGCATAGAACAGAAAACAAGTAAAGCGGGACGAGAGTTTGGAATCGTGAATTGTAGAAAGAAAGCCAAGTGCCCCTCTTGACTTCCTTGCCGCTTAGCGCTGCGCTGAGAGTGAATCCACCGAGCACGAAGAAGGTTGTGGCGGGGAAGTAGAACGTCGTCGCTTTGGCAGACCACCAGTATGGTCCGTACGCTAAAGGATTACGTTCATCTTCGCCTTGCCAAACGCCGCCAAAGTGATTGAACATCACGCCGACGGCCATACAATAGCGTAGCCCGGTCAGACCTGTTGAAGTGGTGACCACCTTTTTTGCGGGCTTTAAATCACATACACGTGCCTGAGCCGCTTTCGTCACATCCAAAATTGCCGCCAAGCCTGCTCGCTTGTACTTCTTTGTTGACGTTTTCGGTAGATCTTCGTCGGCGACGATTTTCCAGTACACAGGGATCTCAAATCGCGATAACTCCTTTGATTGACTCACCATGTGCTTTATCGACTTCAAAGCCGCTTCGTGAGTACCATCAAAACTGTCGTTCAAAACTACTGCGGCGCCGACTTCTTCTCCCCACAACGGCGAGGGGACGCTGAAAACCACTGCTACGCGTACATACGAGTGCTGGACAAGGACAGCCTCAACTTTCAAAGGACTCACTTGCTCGCCTCCACGCTTGATGAGCTCCTTACTACGACCAGTAAGATAGATGAAACCATCCCCGTCAATCTTGGCGATATCACCAGTTCTCAGATAGCGTTTTTCCCCGATGTAAAAGTAGGTTTTATTGTTTGCTTCGAATGCGTCGCGGTACTCACTCATGACATTATCGCCGTTAACAGTAAGTTCGCCTTGCTGCCCAAAAGGCTGGGTGACTCTGCAATGACCGTCCTCGACAAGCGCAACTGAACAACACAACGATTGTCCGACAGTGTCTTGACGGTCACGGAGCATCATGTGCATACCTTTACCAGAAATGGGCATCTGCTCGCTCATGCTGTACGTCGGAACAATTGGAACACCCCAGAATTCGTTCAATTTCTCTGCATCCGCATGGCTGAGCGCCGCCGCGCCGGATCGTATGAAACGGAGACAATGAGACGGACACATGCCTTGCGAAACAGCCTTTCCGTACTGCAACACAGCCAAGTGAATGGTCGGTATCGCCGAGTACCAAGTCGGGCGAATTCCACTGGAACTCGTGACGACATCGTAGAACACCTGAGCATCAAACTTCGGGCAGCAAATCACGGAGCCATGTGCCGCAATAGTCGCTAAGATCGAAGCTGATAGACCACCGATGTGGAAGAGAGGCATGACGTTGATACAGACGTCTGAAGGTTTGAGCTCCAGGGAGGCTGCCAAAGTCGCCCCATTCGAAGTCAACGCGCCGATGACCAACGGCACAACCTTCGACTTCGACGTCGTACCTGAGGTCCTAAGCAACAGGCCCGTGCCTTCACTTGGAGCTGCGATTGAATTTGAAACAGGCGATTCTGGCGATTCCGGCGAGTAATATCCCGCGTAACCCGTGTCGTTCTCAGTAATGACATACCATTTGATCGGGATACCCGCGCGACTCGCCGCCTTTTCGATCGCCTCAGTGTTCGTGTCTCTAAAAAGGGTGAGGAGAGAAACGTGACATGACGTCAGAGCTTCGTATGCTTCGTTTTCAGCGATTCCAGGATCTAAAGGAACCGCGGTACACTGGGAAGTAATCGCGAGGAAGGCGAGCGCACCGACAGGGCCTGGGGGGACATTGTACGCAAAGATGGTGTTAGCGTCAGCTCCAACTTTGCGCACGTCACCGGGCCCAGAGATTATGAACTCGATAACATTTCCATACGACATACTTGCACCATCCATGCTCCGCAGAAGAACCGCGTCTTCGGGAGCTTTTGCCAAAAAGTCCAGGATTGAAAGCCGACTGGCGTTTCGCAACACATTGCAGTGTATCAAGCTTCCCTTGTCCAGAGCGTAGATGAGTTCGTTACCGCCTGGATTCGGCGTTGATTTAGTGTAATTGCCTCGAATTAATGCATCGGCGGTGGCGAATGTGGTCGTTTTAGCCGCCGTTCCACGGGCGCCGTCCCCTCTCTCGAGATCAACGTCTTCGTTGGGTGTCGACGGCGTCTCCATCTTGTGGGAAATATAATCCAAAGCTGGGGCATACATGACGTCTGAATCCTCGCCACTAGTGTTATGGATGGAAAGCTGTGATTGCGTCGCGCTCTCATACCAGGCGTCGAATTCGTCATGGAAACCAACGTCAGACTCGAGAGAAGCGGGCACATCGTGACCTCCGTCAAAATACAGACAGTGACGAATGAGAGCTCCGCTGCCGTCGCGCGATTCAAAAGTCTGCATCAATCGCTCGCCCTCTGGTTTAAAAGCGTCTTGAAATCCGTAAATATGGAGCGATGGGATCGGAGATTTCGACAGGTCCGTCGTCCTGACCCCGAGTACCTTAAATGCCAGATCAAACAAGGACGCCGAGGCGCCGCAACAGACAACCGACGTTCGCCACAAGAAACCATCTTCGATCCCAAGCGCGCGCAAAACGTCCGGATTTGAAAGTAAAGACACAATGGCACCACCTTGAGAGAATCCGACGGCGCAATCGTACGGACCGTGCTCTCTGACGAACCTGACCACCGCGCGAAGCGCCAGGAGTAGTTTCTCCGCCCTCTCATCTTCCGACTGACTCAACGATCCGCGCGCGTCATCCACCCAGGAGTACCACGGGCCATCGATTAAAGATTCCATCGCCTCCATCGCCGCCTCCGGTGCCTCCTCGGTGCCGCACACGCAGTGCGCCTTATCAAAGCGCCGCGCCGCGCGCAGACGGTTGCAGTGAATTTGACTCACCCTCGCGTTACTGCGCCATCCGTGGAGGACCAACGCCCTCGTTCGCTCGCTCCCCGCAACGGTTCCCTGCGCTCGAAGCTCGCTTCGAACGCGCGAGACGGCTCGTTTCAGAACCGACCTCGATCGTCGCATCGTTCCGTCCATTGTTCGTTGGAGACTCGAGCGCTGCCGGGACAAACTCGCGAGGCGCTCGCGCGAGGACGCGGGCGCGTCCGCGACGGCGCCGGGCGAACTCGCATCGGCATCGAGCATTCGTCGCGCGCGCGACTGGCGCGGAGCGTCACGCGCACCGCATCGAGCGCTCGAGAGGAATGTTGCTCACTTTTTTTCCACGACAACTGTATTCAAGTCTACGCGGATGCGAGCGTTGAGAAGCGCGCGCGGATGCGGACGCGGACGCGATGCTCGAGGGTACGATGGCCGAATCACGACGACGAGCGATCGCTCAAATTTCGTCCGGGTCCACCTTGGAGAGGAGTTCGCCGGCGAGCGCGTTGAGCACGTCGATACAAACGTGGGATTGAAGGTTGACGACGACGGCGGCTTGGCGCGCGATGTCGTCGACGCGCTCGCGCAGGAGCCGAGCGGCGACAGGGCCGAAGGCAGCGAACGTGGATTCAACTGCGCGATAGGCTTTTGTGTCGTCTTGAAAGCCGTACAGAAGGCGCACGGCGAGAGCCGAGCGTAGGATGTCGACAATGCGCACTGCGAGCGCCTCTTCACCCGTGAGTTTACGCAACATGTTGGCAATCGTTGTTGCTTCGTCTCTCTTGTGCTCGCAAGCATCGCGGATGAGTTCTGCGATCTTATCAACACTTGAAACTTCATGGGGATCGTTTAGAAGTAACGAAACGCGTTCGAGGACGATGTCAGCTCGAACGTTGATTTGTCTGCAGAGAGCCGAACACGCAGCTAGGACGCGCAGTTGCTGGAACTCGGCCCACATTCTGTCGAGTCGTTCCAGATCGAATTCAAGAGTCTCCGGATAAAACTCCTGCTCAATGGCATTTCGATTCGAAATCAACCTCGCGAGAGCGACGCGACACGCGCCTTCAATGGTCATGATGGCGGTCGAGTGGAGATCAGCGGCGACAATGTAAGCAAGCTGCGGACGCTCCTTGGCGCATCCTATCAGACCGCTTTGAAGTTTTATGCCTCGCCAAGTGGCGTCGCTGTTTCGCCGCAGTGTCATCATATTTTCTTGAGCATCTAACCTGACGAGGTCATCCGCGACGGCTTCGAGCCAACCCAGCGTACGTGGAAACTTTAGCTTGTAAATCTCGACGTCCGTTTCTCCCGTACACACGCCGTGTCGACGAAGAAATCGCTCTCGTGCGTACTCGAATCCCTCCTTGGAACTGGCGGCGATGCCTGATCGTAAATCGTCAATTACCAAGTTCGCGGCATTCAGATATTTTGTGGTGTGAATTTTCTCTCGAAAGCTGAACAAGAACGCCAATGCGTCGACAATACTGCGCGAGATGGATTTTTTGTCCTCCGTCGTCGTCTGCAACTTGTGAATGAGCGTCTCATGTTCGATCTCAAGTCGAGCATTCGTTTCATCGTCGTCGCACAAAATCTTCAAAGCCGTGTATCCGTAATCCAAAGCCTTTCGCAACGCGGCGCACGCGTCCAATGGATGCGTCTCCATGTGTAAGATGCAGCGTTCCAAATCGTCCACGTCAATCAAAACTAACTGATCCTTTAAATCTTTGAGCCGTTGCGTCGACATATCTTCCGAGCTCAGAGCTTCATCGATGGCGCAGTCTTTCCACTCAATGATTCTCTCTCGCACGATGCTGACAGAGTTACCGATGAGAGACTCGTACGCGACGTCCCAGAAAGCTTGAGTCATCGCTTCCTCGACGGCGGTTCTCAGGGAACCAGCCTCGTGTTCCGCGAGCGAAAGTTTGAATTCGGGATTTATCATGAGCTCATGTAAAATTCGATCTTTTTGCGACTCAACGGAATCCATCGTTTCTTCGTCGTACTGCACAGATCGCGCCTTGTCATTCGCGATTGCGTCTGCCATGCGTTTATTCATCGCCTCGCGCGCCTCGCGACGTTGTTCGAGATTGCCTTGCGCGTCCGAAGACGATTCGTCCCCAGACTTTGATTCAGACTGTCTCAGTGCGTCTTCTCGAACGCAACAAATCATTGCATCGAACCGTTGCGCCGCATCGTCTCCAGATAGCCTGGAAATTTTTTCTCTCAACAATGCGCGGTCGCGTTTCTGCGCCTCGCGGATCGCGTTTCGCTCTTCACCCAAACAAACCGATTCGTCGAGCGCGTTCGGTCCACAAACGTTGAACATGGACGCCTCCATAGCGACACCGATTCGAACGAGCTCGTTCTCTAAGCTTTGCGCGTCTTTTGTCTTCCACACAGTCCAATCGCAGTAAAAAGCGTTCCAACTACGCCCGAATCGCGCGACGAGCGAATCTACGTCTCTTGGTGAGGCGGTCGATCCCGCGAGCGCGGCGGCGACAGCTTCCAGAGCCTGGACCAACTCTCGTGATGATGTCAACAGAGAGACCTCTTCTGGGGAAGAACCTCCCATGACGACATCGGAGTGATGCACAATCATGTACGCGCTCAAGACGACTCGCGGCGTGCTCGACCCGACTTTGCTCGCCGAACGCGCCTCGATTCGCTCGAGCCACGCGCGCGTGAGCGATATCGTCGATTCGGCGACGATGAACGCCATGAATTCCTCGAACGATTCGCGCGGGACGGAGAGTTTGGCGTTCAAAAATTGCGTCGCCACCCGTCGAGGCGTCCAGTCGGCGCACCTCGGGGAAGATGAACCGTTTTTATCCAATTCTCGTTTCATCGCCTCGTCCGCGCTCGCGCTCGGCGCGCTCGCGGACGTCTCCCGAGCGATCGCATCCGCGGCGTCGTTCGATTCGTCCTCGAATCGGCGTCTGACGCGCATCGGGATCGGTGCGCGAGGCGGGTCGAGGTCGACGACGAGACGTGTCGCGACGAGACGGGTGCTCGCCCCGTTCCCAGCCTCGGTGCGCGGTGACGAGAGCCGCGAGCGGCGCGGCATGGGCGTGAGCGTTCGCGCGCGGTCGGTCGCGTTCGTGCGAATCCGCTCGATGCGCGCGACGGAGTGCGGTCGGTGGCTCGGCGACGCGCGTCGGGCTCGCCTCGTCGCGACAAGACGCGAGAGGTTAACAACGAGATACTAGAGCCGGTGTGATTTACAACAAGGAAAGAATGAGAGTGCACGATCACGCGTCGAATATTGTTCCGAGCGTCGTAATGAAGCCAATGAAAACTGAGTGCTGAATCATTCCACCACGGGCGTACCGAGCGGGTTCTTCATGCATTCGCTCTTCTCCAGCCCCTGCCAGCAGTTGAGCGCCGCCTTGGTGTGCTCGATCGAGTACATGTCTTCCTCGTCGTCGCTGATTTCGCTCCCATCCGAGGAGATGCGAAGGTTCACCGGCGGCATTCCCTCGAGCGCGCTCGGCGCGGCGTGCTCGCCCACGAACCCTCGAATGCGTTGCTCGATTGTGCGGAAGCGTTCCTCCGCGCGTCCAATCATGGCGGTGAGCACCTCCACGTTGTAGAACGGTTGCTGCAGAACGTTCCCAAGGATGGGTGAACGCAGCGACAAGTTTGATCGCTTGTCGTGCTTCTTCAAAATTTTCACCAACGCCGCGTAGTTCAGATTAGTCCAGTGTTCGAGGAGCACGAGCTCGCCGTGAAAGTTTGCAAACTTTTGGCACAGTTGCGTGTCGCTCAGTAGGCACTCGTTCGTGTACGCGCCCGCGTTGATCGCGCTCGCGATGCGCTCCTCATTCTGTTCAAAAACTTGCTGCATGTGTCCCTCCTTCATGACGATCTCTTCTTCCCGATTCATGAAGAACACGTTGAACTTTTTCAGCTCGCTCGAGAGCGTCTGCATCACTCGCGCCCTCAAGCAGCGCGCTCGAACCGCGCGGCCCGACTGCAGTCGTCGCCTCGCATGTTCATCGCTTTATCCCGGCGCACCGAGTTCGTTCGCGCGATCGCGACGAGCGTCAATACGTGTGCGTCCGCGCCGCCGTTTGTTCGCGCTGTACACGGTGGCGTATTGTTAGCCAGGAGCGACGATGCGGAGTCTCAAGCGGGAGAAACCTCGAGTAGCTCGAGCGAAGTTACCATCGACGCCACCGCCGATGCGTCGCTCATGGCGTTGTTAAGAGCTTCGGATTTAGATGAGAAACACGCGGAGAAGTTCGGGACGTTCGAGCGCGCGCTCGGGGCGAAGACGGAGACGCTGAAGAAGTACGGGTTGGGAACAAAGGAGCGGAAGCGTTTACTCAGGGCGAGCGAGCGGTATCGAACGGGTCTTTTAAAGCTCTGAGCGAACGACGTAGGATACGATGTCACGTGTGTAGTACATATTTGTTACGACGTCATCTCTCACGTCGACGCCTCGTCCACCTATTCCGCGTTTTCGATCTCGGCGTCATCGTTCGTGTCCTTCGGCTCAGATTCGGCGCTCTTTGATGTCCCCACTCTGAACGCCTTGAACCCATCCGCGAGCGACCCCACGAACTTGTTCGCGCTCGCCGCGATCGCGCTTACTTTTGCCCGAACGACGTCGGTCCCCGACCCGTTTGTATCCTCCTCCTTCTCGTCCTCTTCCTCTCCGAAGTAGTACCCGGACGGAGACGTCGGCGACGTTGGGTCGCCGCTCGTCCCTCTCGGCGACGCCACGGCTTCGCTTGATCTCCCACTTCCCGCGCTCGCAGGAATCCGATTCATCGTCTCCGTTGTCACGCTGCGAACTCTGGACATCATCGCCGTCAACTTCTTCCGAATCGCCTCTCCGTCCAACCCGGACTCGACGGTTTTAACGTTTCGCTCGGCGTCCCGCAACGCGTCCTCCAGCGACCCACACGCGCGCTCGATCGACCGCAAAGCCTCCTCCACCGAATCAATCAACGCATAATCGCTCTCCAACGACGCCACCGTGCGCTTTAACGCCTCCCCTTGCTCCTCCCTCGCGTTCTCCGCGGCGTCTCGACACCGAACGATCGCGCGCTCGATCTCATCCAACCGTCCCAACAGCGTCTCCGTCGTCCCCACGCAATCATCGACGTAGCGAGTCGTCGCCCCGTGATCACACCTCGGGTCGAACGCGCGCGCGCAGTCGTGCGAGAGCTGCGCGAGGAGCGAAGACGTGGTCACGCGCATGGCGTTGAATTCGGCACGGCGTCAGTCTCTGTCGCTTCGGTCGTTCGCGTCGACGTCGATGCGTCGACGGGCGCGCGCGTCGACGAGCGACGACGGCGGCGGTGGCGGCGATGACGACGACGGCGGACGGTTCGTGCGAAGACGCCCGAGAGCGCACGAGATCGCGAGAGACGAAGAGGAAGAGGAAGACTTCTCCATTGACGACGATTTCTCCAGCGAGGACGCGTCGATGGACTCGGACGACGACGAGGACGACGACGAGGACGAAGACGCGGGAGCGAACGAGGATGAGCACGACGGTCGCGTCGAGGCTCTGGGACGGGCGATCGTTGACGTTTTAGGACGGGCGCACGAGAGCGAGGCGGAACGCGCGCGGCTCGCGGAGGGACACCTTTTTCGGCTCGTGGAAACGCTGGAGGAAGAAGAGCGGGCGACTGGGATTCCATTGGGACAGAGCGTGATGTCGCTCTACGCGGAATGCGCGTCGGGCGCGTTGAGTAGGGAGGAAATACTTCCGATAGTGCGGCGACGGTGGGAGGAGACGTCGGCGGAGTACTTGGAGTCCATGCGCGAGCGGTTGGTCGTGATGCCGATGGAGGAAATGAGACGTTTGTTCGAGTTGAAGGTGACAGAAGAAATCGCGTCGATCATGAGCATCTTCGTCGGTTCGGAGTTCGAACGGTCGACCATAGAAAATTACCGGAGAGATGGCCTAGAAGGGGCGAGACGGACGCTGACCGCCGCGTCCAACTCCCCTCCGGAGATAATGTTGCACCCGCTCGAGGTGGCGCACTTGGAATATTTGTCCATGTTCCACGAGCAGATATTCCATTTCAACGATGTTTTTGACGATTTCATGGACGAGAGCGATTACGAGACTGAGGACGAGTCGATGAATAGCGAAGAGTTGGACGCGCTGCAGAACCAGATCACGTTATCGAACGTCGAAAGGGGCATCAATGACCCTTGGGATGTGTCACCGTATGTACCGTGGCCCATGATCGAACAGCGGCAGCTCTTGCGCACCAGGGTATCGTTGAATCATCGACAAGGTGCGGATTCGTTGTGTGCATTTCCTTCTTTCGAGGACCTCCCAGCGCCCGTCGAGGAAGAGCTCCCCTTGTCGGGAATCGTCTTGCGCGAAGAGACGTCAAGAGGAACAATTGAGCACACGACGCCGACTTCGAGGATTCCGATGACGGCACTCTTGGTTTCTACTCCGTCAGAAATCATAGGCTACCGAAATGGATGGCCAGTTGGCGCCACAAGGGAGCAGTTTCGGGTGTACAGTATGGATTTCGATGTAGATACACGCACGCTTGCAGTTTGCGGAGCGACTCCCTACATGAACAATATGGATTACAACGTCATTTTGTACCGCTTAGAGCCAGACACAGCAGTGAAGATACGATCTCGTATGTCGGGAGGCGATGTGCCTCCCGGAATGACTAGTGCGAATACCTACAAGATGCTTGCTAATTCACCTCAAGGAGACCTCCCGGCGTGGAGTTTTGTTGAATTGTGCAAGGCAAACATAGGTGCCCGTGTGGCCCATGGGCCTCCAATAAACGAAGCGTACTATCCAATGCAACCGGATGGATTCCACGAGGCCGAGCAGGCAAACTGCATACGCTTCGCTCATCTAGCTTTGGAGGAGAGGAAGGCGCGAGAGCTGCGAATCATTTTCTCCAGCAATGACGGATATGTGTATGTGTGCCGTCTCGATGAGACGACCAGTAGTGACGCCCCAACGAAGTATAAACTCGTCAAAGACTTCGTCTTGAGTGATCCTCACGTCGAGCCAAAAAACTGTGCTATATCTTCGCCGTGCGGTACAATGATCGCCCTCGCGGGCGATAGTCGGAAGGTCTCGATAATGAAATTTCAGAAGCACTCGACGACAACTTGTCGGGCTTGTTATACGTCAACGTCGTGCGAGTTGGCAGACGCGAATACAGCAAGTATGGGCATCGGCGGAGAAATGTTCGAACTGGAAATTCCCACTCCCGCATATCTTCTTGATCCAGGACCTGGAGTGATTCCGGAAGGCGCCATTCAATACCTTGCATGGAGTTCGGACGGACGATACTTGGCAGCAACGAGTGATAGTGATTGTTCTGTCACCGTCTGGCTCTTCTCCGGCGACGACAAGAGTCCATCCCACACTCAACTAAAAATTGGTTCACGGATTAAGGAATTCGCCGTGAGTGATGTGGTACTGATTGCGCATATCAATGGTCACCAATCGCCGTGTTTACAGGTTTCGTTCGGGATCGCGAATCCGTCGATGTTGATTTGGGCCGAGCGCGGAGCGAAAATTCATTTGTTCGATGTCCGTGAGGCTGAAGGGTATTTTGAGGATGTGATTCAAAGTTTCGGAGGCTTGGGAAGTGATGAGTTCAAAAGTTTCTTCGAAAGCACTGGACCACAAAATGATCTTGACGATCCATGGCATCCTCAGAATGGGAGTAAATATCAACTTCGACTCGCGCGCGCGCTTTCAAGCTCTGGTATTTTCGCTGCGTGCATCAACATGCGTGTCGGACCAGATCACCTAAGTCGCGCAACAATCCCGCAGGAGGAAGAACGATGGGAGAACATGTCAAGGGATGAGAAGTTAAAGCAATTTTCGTCTTGGCAGTCCGTCACGCATACGCGCGGGAAATACTTTGCGGTTCAATCCATGCAAACTGTCCACTTCGATGAAATGCACGAGTACTGTCGGCTCATAACCTCAGACTTCATCACGGGCTTATCCGTGACTTCAGGAAATCAGAAGTCAGCTTCACACTACAAAGATATCATCACGTATTCCACACGCGAATCCGTCAATGCGTTTGAGATTCACGCGAGTATGTTAACCGACATGAGCAATTTCAACAGGTTCCCAATTTCTTTCAGGGACGCCGCAAGAACGTTCTTGCTCTGTGCCAAGGCGAGTCGAAAATACACAACGGACACCTGCCTCGCCAATTTACCCGCAGAGTTGATCCAAGATATCGTCGCAAAGATGGCATCGTTGGCTTATAAATGGGCTCGACTCGATGCTGTAACGATGAGCGAGACATTCTTGCGGGCGACCATGAAGGGATACGCTGGGCGCGACATACAAGCAGACTCCTAACTTGGTACGCAAACCTTAGTTACCAGTACGGTAGTATAATAGATTCATAGCATTACACGTAAGCGTGTTTCACGATTAGTCTACTTTATATACATCACGCAGCCACACAAAAAAGATGCAGTAGCACGCGAAGACGACGTACGTACACATGAACACGATTCCGGCACTCCGCGTGAGTTGCCAGCGATTAAAGAACAGCATCAAGTAGTATAATAAAAGGACGCCGAACAGGATGCTCATGGACGGTATGAGCTGAGAAGTTTGAATGCTTATCATTCTGCCAGGCTTAGTGGGCAAAATTATGAGCCAAGGAAGACCGAGACCGAGCCAAATGTCGAAGATATTGCTTCCAACAGCATTCGCAACAGCCATGTCTCCTTCGCCAGCTTTCGCCACTGCGATGGATCCTAGCGCGTCAGGAATCGAGGTACCAGCGGCGACGACGAGGGTACCCATGACAACCTCAGGAATACCGATGACGCACCCGACTCGAGCGGCCCACGAAACCATGCAATACGAAATCAGGCTAATCCATGAGATGGATGCAAGAAAAGTCATCGCGAACCAATTCTCTCTTTGTTTCAGTGCACAATTTGGAATGCTGAAATGAAAAGCGAATCGCCAGGGCAAGCTTATCACGTGCAGAGGGATCCCAAGCGAAGAATCCGGCCATTCAAAACTCTTATCTTCGTCTTCTACTACTTCTTCTCTCATCGGTCTTCTGGATTGCCGGCGCGTGTCGGCGCGTCGCAGCGCCGGAACCGTTGTCGGAGTTGGTTCAGGCACCATTAACTGCTTCGGTCGTTTGGACGCGCCGCCCATCCACCGCATCAAGACATCGTTATAACACATGCACAATACGTAAGTCGCGTACAAAAGGACGCAGATCAAGCCCTCATACCACGTGATACGACCGTCGTAGAAGATGAGGAGCACAGTCAAGACAGCCATAGCGTAAAACATGCAGTCACGCGTCACCGGGCGCCAGTCGAGATCGAGAGAGCACCCGGCGCAAAGAACGGTGGCACCGACGATGAAGAGCATGTTAAATACGGCGGACCCGACGATTGCGCTAATACCGATTTCATTCGTCGCATCCGGTGAGATTAAACTCATTCCTGAGGAGAAGAGTTCTGGAGCCGACGAACCAGCCGCCATGAACGTGGCTCCAGCTACGTCTTCACTCAGACCCAGCTTATCGCAAATTTTCTCTAGAGAGGAGACAAAGTAGTCATCACACACGATGGCGATGCCTAAAAACATGTAAAGAATGCCGACGACGTACAGTACCCAACCACCGTTTCGTATCCACTCCTGGCGCTCAGAAGAGCAGCCTCCAGTGGAGGCAAGGCGTCTGGAGTGCGCCCATGAAAGAGAGTCATCGACGACATCCCAAGAAGCTCGCATGGAAACGCAACATATAGTCACAGAGAGCAGAAGCACTGAGCTGTAAAACCGTCGCGTTACGAGAGCAAGTTGCGCGTCAGTCAACGTCCGCTTCAAGCGCGCTGCTTCTGCAAACGCACCAGCACAGACGCCATATGCGCCGCGCGCGCTGCAGTCGCTCCCGCCGCGTCGCACGTATCATCAGAATATTATCGTTTTGCGACATTGAGCTCATCTACCGCGCACGCACCCGCGCGAGCGCGAGTCTTGCGGTGGAGCATCAAGACGGAAATAGAACCGTCAAAAGCCGCGCCAGGCGGAAATAAGTAAATAAATAACAACAGCCGCACGACCGCGATTTCCCCTCCTCGTTTACGAGCGAAATAATCATACATCGCGTGAACACCATCCTCACGCATCGAACGAGGCCTCGTACGGTTGCACCAAACGCTTGGCTTTTCCAGTTTCGTCTCTCTCGACGCGAGCCAGCAGCGCACCGCGTCCCGCCTCCGTCCCATCCGTCGAGCGCACTACCACCTCGAACGCTCCAACGTTTATCACGTCGTGCGCCACGCACGCACTCGTGTCGATGCCATCGAATGCGCACGTCACCTCGAACCGTCGTCCACAAGAGCCAAGCGACGTGCTTGCCGTCTCGCACCGCGCCACCACGCCTCCACGCGTCAACTGCGCGCGCGATCGCGCCAGCGCGACGTCACACGTAAAGAATGCTTCCGCCGTGACATCACGGTCCGTATCATCCCCGCTCTCGACGCTAAACGCGCACGTCAGCGTTCCCGGGGCGTCGAAATCTGACCAGTGCGACACTTTGTCTCCGAAAAACTTCCGCTCCGGCTCGCTCGGCTCGCTCGACGTCGCCCCGGCGCTCGGCGTCGCGTCGACGGCGTCAGTCACACCGTTCTCATCGTTCGGGTGTTCGCGCAGCGTCAGCTCGATCGGGACGAGCATTCCTCGCAAAGCGTCGACGTCCGCGGAGTGCGGTTCCTTCAGTACGTCGCCGCTAGTGCTACACACCGCGAACGCCGACGCGTCACAGTCGCGCGCGCGGCGTCCGTGCGCGCGCATCCGTCGCAAACGTTCGCGCACGTCGATCCGAAAACTCCAATCGCCGCTCGGAACGTCGCGCGAGCGTGCGAAGCGGGAGAGAGGCTCGCGCGCGCGCGCTCGCGGGTCGCGGACGAGCGAGATCTCGAATCTTCGTCGACGCGACGCGCGCGACGCGCCGTCGACGGTTCGCAAACGGCGACGGTATTTACCGTTCGTTCATTCGAGTGCGTAGACGCGCTCGAGAGCGCTCGCGGGACGCGTTACACGTCGGAGAGATCCCCATATAGGCTCTGTCGGCAAGGTTCAGGGCAACCGAACGTTGAAACTTTGAGTGACGTGCGATCGTAGATGCTCAGTGGGCGCGACCTAGAGTGTTTAAACGCGTTGAACACGTCGTTGAACACGGCAGTGGGTCGACACGCGGACGCGGGTCGAGGGGGCGCGGCAAAGGAGGGGGCGGAACCGAACGACGTGACGCAAAAGAGCGGAGGTCCGTGAGACGAAGGGCTAAGTGGAATTGACGATCGGTGAAAGGGTTCGAGGAAGATGAGTGCGACGTTAATAAAGAGATCGCCGTCGAGACAAGACATTCCTATCACGCCGAGCGTGGTGTCGCTACACCAGCTCGATCTAGACAGCGATAAGGAATTCGCCAAGGTGGGCGCTCTGAGGTCATCGTCAGCGGAACTTCCAAGGATTGGGTACCTCAAGCGTGAGGCGGCACAGATTTTCAAGCGCGTGCGCTCGTTCGGGTCGTTTCAAGACGCTCTGGTGCCCGATATCGACGGATACTCGGACGATTACTCGGATGAAGAGGACGATGACGACGATTCGTGGGGTCTCACCGGGTATGTCACCGACGCTAGCGAGTTCGACCGCATCTTGATCTCTCTCTGGGAAGATCGATTCGCGGGCGGTTTGTTTCGGTACGACGTCACCGCAGTGAGCACTAAGGTGATAGAGGGGAAGAAGCAATACGTCGCGCAGTTCAACATCGGTCGCGCTACAAACAAGCGTCCGACTGAGTTCTCAGTGGACAAGGTTTGTCAAGACTTCGACCCAAACAAGTTCAACTTCACAAAGGCGGATCTAAAAGAAGTACTCTTCTCCTTCACAAATATCGGCGAAGCGGATGAGAACGTTACTCGCAGCGTGTTCGAGCCGAACGCGTCCGTGGGAGAGAGTCCGACCGTGGTGTTGATCAACGTATCTCCGATTGAGTATGGACACGTGCTGCTCTGCCCACGCGTGACAGATATGTTACCGCAGCAAATTAGTCCGGACAAGTTACTCCCCGCTTTATACATGGCGGCTGAGTCGAGAAATCCATACTTCCGA